GCTGGCCATAAAACACGGACATGTGCAGCAAGGCATGAGCATGCACAGATGCATATGTCCTGCCTACATGGAAGCCTGGCTCATAAATTCTGTCCATTTTAAAGCAGTTGCAGAACTAATGACAACAAAACTAAGTGGAATTCAGCAAGCACTTCATTCCTCTTGAAGGTTTGTGATTTTTCAAAGCTTTTGTCATTTTATTTGAAGGACCACAGACTTTTTAAAAAAGTTAAAGTGAAGAAATTGGGTAAAACCTATACTTGAAATAAAAGACCCTGGGCTATTCTCAAGGAAAGGTCATGATCATAACCTAGAAAAATTCTAGACTAGGCTTCAGAAAGTCTGGGTGCAAGGTTGAGCACTATTATATTATGTGGACACTTAACCAGGAAGTTGGTTTTCCCATCAAGAAAAAACAAACACACAAAAAGACCTTCCTTTACAGGAAAACTTTTCCCCCCTCCAACCTATGACTCAAATGTGGTTGCCCATTCATGTGGTGGGAAGAACTGTGAGTCAGGGAAAAGAGGGAGGTGCTCCCGGCATCTTTTGTGACATGACTTGTTTACCTGTCTTGAGTCAGCTTGGAATCTAACTGGAAAAGCAAAACTCAAGGTCTACTGGGGCTGCTCATAGAAAGTGTTGACTTCAGAAGATGAAGCCCAACCTCCTTCCACAGACCCACTCAGTAATCTTTCTGAAGAAAGGGGGGCTGTGTCTGCCTTCCCTCCGTTCAGACAACATCCCCCTCACATGCTTCTGGTAACTTCCTCTTGGTTTCAAGTTGCCCTCACCTTCAGTCAGAATTTCAGAAACAGTTTCCTAAATTGTCTTCCTGAATCTGGGCTCTCCCAGGGCCCAAGGAGTTTACTTGTTGGTGCCAGACCAACTGTCAAAGACTTGTTGATTGACAAATCCACGGGTCTCTCTTCAGCCTTCACCCCATTTGACTTCTCTCTGCCATCAGACCCTGCTGAAACCACACTGAGCTTCTTTTGAAATGCCTTCTTCTCCCTTGGCTTCCCTGAGTTGGCCCTTCCTGATTCTTCTATCTCCTCACGGGCTCCACTTCCTCTACCCCATTTTGTCCTTCAGTCTTCTGTCCTCTGCCTTCTTCCCTTCATTATTATTTTTATCTCTAAGACACCCATCCTACTGCCTGCCTCACCCATGGGCTGTCCCTTCTCTTGACAAGCTGTGCGTTGGGGACAGGATGGATCCTCCCCTGGTCATCCCCACCCCCACTGCAGTTGTGTGTGCTCAGCATGACTCACCCACCCACACCCAACTGGGAAACAGAGTACCTCTCAGTGTCAGGTAGCCATAAGCCAGGGTGGCCAAAGCCTGTGCACATTTCCAGTGTTCTTCCCCAAAAATAATCCGAGAAAGGATGACACAGCGAATCAGCTCCTTATTTGCTTCAATGTTCTGCAGAGAGCAAGCAAGTCATCATGCTTTCTGGAAAAGAGGAAAATCCCCAGCCCACATCTCATCACAGGAATGCAGGACTGCATCCACTGTCATCTTTTTCCCTCCTCCCTGCTTCCCATCCCACAGCCAATCCATCAAGTCCTGTTAGCTCCACCTTACTACTAAGTCCTGAAGCTAAGCTCTTCTCTTCATTCCTGCCAGGCATACCCAGGCCAAGCCACCCTCACCTATGACCTTGGTGACCTCAGCCCCTCCTACTGCCTCCACCCCTGCCCCCCCATAGTTAACTTTCTACATCACAGCCAGAGGGACTTATTTTCACCTCTCACTGTGAAAAATTTTAACAGTATGCAAAAACAGAATGGACAATGACTCACTTAGCTGCCTCAAGTAACTACTCATGGTCAATCTTGTTTCATATCTATGCTCCACATGTACTTACCCTCTCCCTCTACGGCTCTGAAGCAAATCCAAGATACTAAGTCATCTCATATTTCATAAGTACCTCCAAAAGATATGGACTTAGAAATACTGGGTTGGCCAGATAGTTCATTTGGGTTTTTCTGTAACATCTCAGGGAAAACCCGAATGAACTTTTTGGGCCAGACCAACAGAATCACAAAATCATTATCACACCAAAATATTAACAAATGATTCCTTGCTATCAAATACCTACTCCCATATATCTAATAATTACCTCATATTTTGCAGTTTGATTGTCCAAACACTGAGATCTATCTCCTGAGTCTCCTTTAATCCATGGGTTCTACCTTTATTTCTAATTCTTTTCATTGAAAATTATTTATGGAAGAAACTGAGTTACTTGACTTATAATGTTTCCCAAAGATGGAAACTGGATTGACTGCATCCTTATGGTGTCATTCAACATGTCCTTCCATCCTCCATTCTGCCTTTATATTGGTCATTGGATTTATAAGTTTGGTTACCTTCAGTTTTTTTTACCCAAGCAAAACTACTTCATATGCTCTACCATCAGAAGACACCTAACCTCTGCTTGTCTCTTGCTGATGAAGGCAAAACTGTATGAATAAATCTATAAAAGATAATAGATAATAGATGATATAATAGATCTACAATAGATAACACATGATATCCTAATTCTATCATTCCTTCTTCATCTGTTAGCTGGAATAACTTTATGAAAATGAAATCTCCCCTCATCTACTTCTTAGTTACCCAACAGTACAGTTCATATCAGAAGGATAGGATATATACTTTACTCTTTCTCTTCAATTTACTAGCTTTCCAAATAATGAGTTCATTCACTAGCACCCACCAGTGGTGACCAAGTAGCTAGGTGCTTATCATTCTTTTTCTTCTCCTCCTCCATCTTTTTCTCCTTCTTCTAATTTTTATTATTATTTATGATCATAGGATTTTAAAATATATCTGATGTTCCTGAACACAGCAAACTACTTTCTAGGCCAGGGCTTGTACATATGCTGTTGCCCAGCCTGGGACACTCTCACAGATCATTACCCTCTTGTGTCATTTTCATCTTGTTCACCCCAGAGAGGCCTTCCTTGGTCACTGTATCTAAAACAGCCTCTCACCCCATCACTTACTATACCCCATTACCAATTTTAATTTTTTTCTTCATGGCATTTACCTCTCTGATATTCCATTAACTAAAATTTTCTGCCTATGATCTGTCTCCCCAAATAGAAAATAAGTTCCCCAAGAACAGTTTATTCCTCAAATTCACTACTGTATGCTCCATGCACAGAGGAGGCCACTCATTCAGCACTTGCTGAATAAATCATCTCTCTACTGGCAAAGATAAGGATGGGGTGGGGAAAAGAGTCCCTGGCCCTGTAGAACTGATGGGCAGAGCTCTTGAAATCACAGACTTACATCTTTTAATGCATAGATGTCAGTAACTTTACATACATAGTCAGCAGGTAGCTGCACTGATTGACAAAGTCAGGCACTTATTTTGATCCTGGAATTTTGATCTTGATCCTGACATTTACTGACTGTGAAGTTTAGGGCAAGAACACCCTGAGTCCCAGCTTCCTTTTCTACTTAGAGATCTATACCACTCACCTTACAGAATTACTCTAGAGGGAAATGAGTCAATATCAAAGGGATCCGAATTTGTTCTGTATTATCTGACTGTAACCCCCTTACAGAGTAACACAGAGAAGTCTAAAGACTGTTCTCTCCTGACCCCCGAGACCCCCACATCCTTCCTCACCTTAGACTTCATCCCTCTCAGCTCAAACACACAGAGGCAAACAATGTGAGAGGGACATTTCCCCTCGTGCTTTAAAAACAGCCATTCGGTCAGAACATGTGAGTTCTTCATGGGCCAACCGCACACCAAGTACTAAGTTCTATTCCGAGGAGGAAGCATAATACCATGAAAAATACCTAGAACGGGAGTCCAAAGCCTTGAGTCCTTTCCTGGCTCTGGACATCGTGTATTCATCCGTTCCCACACTTCCTGTCCTGGGGACACAAGCAACCTATATGGGCTCCAGAGGTCAGCCCAGCATTGCCACTGCCACCACCAACCCTCCTGTCCTTCAGGGCGGTGAGAACTGGGGTGGGCTAGATTTAACTCCTAAACCTCAGTCTCTGTCGTTATCCACAGTGGTCTAGGAGCTGTCAAATCTTAGAAGTTCACACTTGCATTCCACAGCAGTTGGTACTTGTCTTTCTAGAACTGATCATTCTAGCCGAGGCTCATGAAATACTAATGGGTCAGGATGATGGTCCTTTCCAAGTTTCTGGGTAGTTTACACAGGTAAATTTACAGATATATCCATCCAGGGAAGTATCAACTTCTGTTGTCTTCTGAGATGCCTCTCAGCCTTTCCTAAGCCATCTGCAGACTTTCATGCAAGTACTGTTCCCCTTGTTTGGGAATGGCGAGGAAGTCAGTAAGTCAGCATAAGAATTCTTTGTTAATAAATAATGCTCTGGGAGCAGGCTGGTGCCTGGGTGTTAATAACGAGGGTCACTGACAGGCTGTCTCATGTTCTTGGACTTTGAACACTCCTGCTAAACACTTGCTCTGAGGTCGTAGTTCCCAAGTCCTGGCTTTGCTCTTGGAAATGGATACCTGGATTCTCTGACCTCTGCTACTACCACCCACTTCCTGTCCTTCGGTTTCCTTAGGATTCCACGGTAACCACAGGCATCTTACCATATCCTTGCGAGGCCTGAGCCTAGACTGCGCCTGTCTACCCTTGTTCTCCGTCTCTTGCCTCACTATCCTGGACTTCTTGTTACCCAAAAGATATTATGCTGAAACCTTTCAGGAGAAATCAAAAACTGTTTGTTAATTAAAAGAACCAAACAGCAACAGGAAGACCCAACATCAATTTTCAGTTTAAAGCCAAGAGCACAAATACTCCAAGGAAGTACTTAGTGACCCATGTGTGGAGCTGGAAGGTGGGCTGGCTACCAACTATGCTCTGCTCTGTTCTCTCCCACTTATAAAGAAATATTAACACCTTCCTTCACTTCATGGCCTTCATGGACATGGAAATTTCCATTTGAAAATGGAAAACCTTGTGAATTTTTATTTTACCTTTTTCCCCTTAATCAGCTGAGCTATTTTCTTCTGGGATTGGGCCAATTTCTCTTTGGGATGAGACACAGTCTATGGCCTTCTCCTTGTCTTTGGTGTCTTCCTCACTCTCTTCAGATCCACTAGTGGGAGATGACTCATCTGTTAGCTGATGTTCTGGGATCTTGGTTTGCTGGGACCTGTGGGTACTAGATAGGGACATGGACTGAGGTTTGACCTTTGCATATCTCAAACAACATGGCACTAAAGGACAGAGCCCTCCCAACTTGGGGCTGGGGATACGATCTTTAAAACAGACTTGAAAAATAAAGCCAAGTAGCAAACTCATTTCACCTGCAAAACCCAGAATTAGAACAGCAATGTAGTGGTTCAAATGAAACAGATTTGTTGAACTACCCACTCAGTGGCAACTCTGTGGCTTACCAACCATAAGACCTGAAGTTATTAATTTGTTTCTCTGTAAAATGAAGTCAATATGAACATTCACCTGATGAGGTTATGGGATTAAGTCAGGTAATACTCATAAATCACTTAGCACAGTGCCTGCTATTTAGTAAGTGCTCTTTTAACATTAGCTATTATTATTTTATGAGTTCCATGACTTCAGGATGTTGAATTGGAACATCTCCAAGATTCCTAGTGTTCTAAATTCTGATCCAAACCAGGGGCAAAAATGGACACAGTGAAATAAGCTAAAGGGAACTAACATTTTGAGGTTGGAACTTCACATGTCCTCTTTCAAATTTTTTAAAAGCTTCAATATAAACCCTAACTAAAGAGGATGTGGTTCCACCAAGGAGAAGGGAGGGGAACACACACTGGGTCAAGTGCAGATTCAAGAGAGAAATGACCTTTTCAATTATTAGGAGAAAAAAAACAATAAACCAAAAACGTGTTGAAGAAAGAGCTGAGTGGGTTGAAAAATCTTCTCCCTCTTCCCCAGCACCCCTGCCCCACCCCTAACACACACATACACACATGCATACACACAGACAACGTAAATCTCAGATTTCAGTGCTAAACATAATTATGAATGGGTAATTGATGTGATAAAGTCCAAAGAGTGAATCCTATGTTAACAAAAGAGATAACCATATCCTAACTCTACCAGAATAATCATAAAGTGATCCAGAAGAAATAGAATCCTAAGATCTTAAGAGGAACAGCAGAAATTTTAATTAGAAGTAAGTTCCCCCAAAGAATTACCCATGTATTCATGATAGCTTTTAAAAGCTCAACTGCATAGTTTTCAAAATAAATTTTATCTTCCTTTTCCACTAATTAGATAAGTAATGAATGCTCACTGCAAGAATACAAAAAGGAGAAAATTTAGAAGGAAAATAAATGTCAAATGTAACCTTTTACACCAGGTTCAAATAAATGACATGTTAATATCCATCCAGAGTTCTGTTCTAAATAACCTATATTTATTTAGGCATGTGGGTAAACCATGTGGACAGGGCAGCAACATTTCTTTAGGCCCAGGCCCAGGCCCCGGCAGGACTGCCCTCAGCCCACAAACAGAAGTGTGCTTTCAGACGACGTGCAAAAACTCAATGGAAAAGGGAGAGAAGCCTGGAGGAGCCATGAAATTGGGAAATAGGAGTTAAACTTGCCTGATCTCTGCCTGGTGAATTCCATACTCCTCCAAGACCCAAATGGAGTGTCACCTCTGCTGGAAATATCACACTGGAGTAGCAGTGCGAACACCCTCTATAGGCTTGCGAAAGTTTCCTCCAACTTCGACTATCGTGCGAATCACACCACAGTCTTTTTCAAAATTTGTTTTGTTTCTGAGACTTCTTTGCTTCCTAGTAAGTAAAATCCACCTGGGGTGGATTTTTTACTGAGTCTCATTTGTTTCTAAGAAACCCCGATACCTGGGTCACAGTAGGAAAAAATAACTGCTTATTTAATGATGAACAAATGAATGGAAAAAGGAAGTGTAAGGTCTTCAAGATGCCTGAAAAAGACTGATGATAGAGGAAATATGTGGCAAGAGAGCCTAACTCAAGAAACTCACAGAAAGAAAACTCAGTCCCTCAACAGAAGACCTTGCTTAGGCTGCATATTTCATATACCTGGAGCAGAAGTTCAATCTGTTGGGGTCACCAAAAATATTATTAACTTTCTTTCAATATTAAAAACAACAAGCCCAAGCTTTAATAGCAGGGCCTCAAAGGAAGAGGAAACGTTCAAGTCTTGATAAATGACTTGAGACTGCAAAGCTCTGAACTAGCTTTGAATTTGTTGCTGTGAAAGATAAGAAAGATACCTGGAGGCGGCACTCAGAGTCATGGCAGGCCTCCTGCGAGCTCTGCGGGGCCTTCCCCTCCGCGAGGCACCCGGGTGGGCTGCGCGGGGCCGAGCGGACTGCGGCGGCCTCCGCGCAGGTGCTGGATCCCGGCAAGCAGGGTCTCTTACAAAACGTCAGCCGGCTCTCTCCAAGAGTGAGTGGCAAAAGAAGCTGACACCAGAGCAGTTCCACGTCACGAGAGAAAAAGGGACGGAGCCGCCTTTCAGTGGGATCTACCTGAATAACAAGGAACCAGGGATGTATCACAGTGTCTGTTGTGACGGCCCACTCTTCAGCGCTGAGAAGAAGTTCTGCTCCGGCACGGGATGGCCTTCGTTCTCTGAGGCTCACGGGACGTCTGGCTCTGATGAGAGTAACACGGGGATCCTGAGACGTGCGGACACCTCACTGGGACTGGCTCGCACAGAGGTGGTCTGCAAGCGGTGTGAAGCTCACCTCGGCCATGTGTTCCCCGATGGACCTGGGCCTGGTGGGCAGAGGTTCTGCATCAACAGTGTGGCGCTCAGGTTCAAGCCAAGGAAACACTGACCACCTCCGAGAGTCCCCTTCCCTCCCTCGCCACTCCCTCACCTCCAAATTCAATTCGCAGAACTTATGTGAATGACTTTTTGTGACCCCATGAGGTGTAGCTCGCCAGCCTCTTTGTCCATGGAATTCTCCAGGTAAGAATACTGGGGTGGGTAGCCATTCCCTTCTCCAGATCTTCCAACCCAGGGATTGAACCCAGATCTCCCGCATTGCGGGCAGATCCTTTACTGTCTGAGCCACAGGGGAGCCCGGTGTGAACGACTGCCTGTTGTGAATGGCAGTTTCGTTAACTACCAAACCAAGGCTAAGTTCGCCACTGCACCATGCAAACCACACCTTCTCTAATTTACTACCTGGAGTCAACTCAGCCCTGGCTCTGGCTTTGACTAGAACTTCACAAAATGACAGAGGGACAACTATTTCCATTAAATCGACTTCTGTGGGCTTTGTCTGGACTGGAGGACATGACTCTCTAGGGATGCTTGGAGGCAGATGGATAAACCAAAAAAAAAAAAAATTCTACAAAACGACCCTGAACTTTCCATCACAGTTAAGTTCTTCCCAGACATATACATGTGAGAGATCAAGTGAAAAGAGGAAGGAAAATATGGCATTAGAGTACTCCACAGTTCCAGCATGGAAGGAGGCATTGAGGAAAAGGAGGAGGAGGGTTGTGGACAAGGTGGGTTTCCAGAGCACGCCTGGAGATCCATGGGATGCGTGATTTTTTCCCCAAAAATGTTAATAAACTGTCTTGAACATTCTAGTTCCAACCTCTCTACCTGCAACTAAATTTGAAGGGGAATCTGCTAGATTTCAGTGATAATGAGTACGAGTGGTTACAAAATTAAACTTTAAAATGTCCAAATAAAATATTTACTAAAAAAAAAAAAAAGATACCTGGAGAACACTGACCAGATAGATATCTCGAAGGATAGTCAAAATAAACAGATTAGGCCAGGGGTTTCCCTGGTGGTCCAGTGGGTAAGGCTCTGCACTTCCAATGCAAAGGATGTAGGTTTGATTCCTGGTTTGGGAACTAAGATCCCCTGTGTTACATGACCAAAAAAAAATATATATATATATATAGAGAGAGAGAGAGAAAGATTAGGCCAGTTAAATGAATGATCTGCCTTGCTAGGTCTCTAATTTATTCTATATATTGCCAACATAAATATGAATTCTTACTAGTAAAATTAGATATGAATTATCAGACTATTTCCAAGATACTCTACTATGCACTCAACATTTTTTCTTTTTTTAAAAAAATATTTATTTTATTATTTATTTGGTTGCATTGGGTCTTAGTTGCAGCATGCAGGTTCTTCACTGCATCATGCAGGATCTTTCGTTTTGGTGCATAAACTCTCCAGTTGTGGTGAGTGGACTCAGTTGCTCTGCAGGGCATGTGGGATCTTAGTTTCCGGACCAGGGTTTGAACCCATTTCCCCTGCACTGAAACACAGATTCTTAACCACTGGACCACCAGAAAAATCCCTGAACTCTACATTTTTAACTTCAATTTTTGTAGTTATATAATCCTTAAAATATTTTATAAGATGGTACAGAATGAATCATACTAACATGTTAACCACTAGACACACTTGGCTATTAAGCGCATGAAATGTAGCTGGCCTGAACTGAGATCTGCTGCAGTGTAAAATACACACCAAATTTTAAAGACTTAATATGAAGAAAAATATTTCATTAATTATTTTATATAATATTATATACATACATATATAGTATTTACATTTACCTGTTTCTTTTTATTTTTTAATATGGCTACTTAAAATTTAATATTAGATTTTTGGCTAGCATTGTATTTCTACTTGATAGCATTGGTATAGAGCAATAGTTCTCAACCAAGGGTGATATTGCTCCCAGGGGATATTTGGCAATGTCAGGAGATAACTTTGCTTGTCACAACTGGGGTGGAGCTACTGACATCTCATAGGTAAAGGCCAAGGATGTTACAATGCACAAGACAGCCCCACAACAAATAATTATCTAATCCAAAATGTCAATAATGTCAAGGTTGAAAAGCCCTGGTATAGAGAAGTAGTTAAAGAATAGACTCTGAAGTCACACTGCCCAGTTTGAACAGCACTTACTAGCTATGTGACTTTGGGCAAACTGCCTAACCTTTCTTTAATTTATACTCTTCATCTAAAAAATGGGGTAATTACAGTACCTCCCTCACAGAGTTGTTGGAGAAATTAATTGAGTTAATATATAAAATTACTTAGAACAGTGCCTGGCACATAGTATTTGCTCAATAAGTATTAGTTGCTATGATGTAAAAATTTTAATTTACTTATTGTCTATTTCATGAAGGGCTTCCATCATGGCTCAGACAGTAAAGAATATGCCTGAAATGTGGGAGACCTGGGTTCTATCCCTGAGCTGGGAAGATCCCCTAGAGAAGAGAATAGCTACTCACTCCAGAATTCTTTTCTGAAGAATCCCAGGGACAGAGAAGCCTGGTGGGTTACAGTCCATGCAGTTGCAAAGAGGAGTTGGACACGACTGAGAGACTAATACTATTTCATGAAACAATTTCAATTTGCTCATTAACTTTTTAATTCTCCATGACTTTACCAATCTTGTTAAAATTATCTTTGTAAAAAAGAGTTGAAACCTCCCTTAAATTAGGAAAAAACATTTCTTTTCCATCTTGCACAGGTTGCATGTGTGCGTGCTTCAACTAAGTCTTCTCCAACTCTTTGCAACCCCACAGACTGTAGCCTGCTAGGCTCCTCTGTCCCTGGGATATCCCCGGCAAGAATACTGGGGTGCATTGCCATTTCCTTCTCCAGGGTATGTTCCCAAACCAGAGATTGAACTCACATCTCCTGCATTGGCAGGCAGGTTATTTACCACTGAGCCACCAGGGAAGCCCTTGCATAGGTTAAAGTGAAAGCGAAGTTGCTCAGTCGTGTCCAACTCTTTGCGAGCCCATGGACAGTAGCCTGCAACAGGCTCCTCCGTCCATGGAATTTTCTAGGCAAGAGTACTGGAGTGGGTTGCCATTTCCTTCTCCAGGGAATCTTCCCGACCCAGGGATCGAACCCAGGTCTCCTGCATTGTATGTAGACAGACCCTTTACCGTCTGAGCCTCCAGGGAAGTCCAGAACTGGTATTAGAAAACTACACAGAAAAAAAAAAAAAAAAGAAAAAGAAAACTACACAGAAGCCCACTCTTCCCTATAACACGCATGCAAAGCTTCTTACCAAGATTGGCCTTAAGTGGAGGTCCCACAGGGAACTCTGCTCAGTGTTATGTAGCAGCCTGAATGGGAGAAGAGTTGAGTTTGGAGGAGAATGGATACATGTATATGTATGGCTGAGTCCCTTCACTGTCCACCTGAAACTATCATAACATTGTTAATTAGCTATACTTCAATACAAAGTAAAAAAAATTTAATAAAAATGTCAAAATTCAAACATACTTTTAAAAAACATAAAATGTAAACACTGAAAAACAAAATCTTTTCATATATTAAAAAAAGTGAAGGTCCCAGGGCTTCAGGCCAGTGGAAAGTGATGCTAAGACTCTGTGGCACTTACAGATGGAAGCAGAAGTCCCAGTCGGTATCATTGGTGACAGTTGGGATGCGGATGGGGCTGGCTCGCATCTTCTTCCTACCAAGAATCACACGTGAGGTTAGCTTCAGAAGAAAACGCTTAGAAGTCTGTTCTATTTTCCCTCTGTTGGATGCTATTAGCGTTAAACTGAAACTGCCCAAATATATAACCCATCCTAAATCCACAAATAGACTACACACACACTCATGAATGGTGGACCTGGAAAGAAGAAATTAAAGACATTTGCCAAATTAAATCCCTGAGCTAAATTTCTATTGTTTAAAATTTACTCCACATTACCTCCCAAATCTCTGACATTTCTTACCCCTTAAGCCAACACATTTACATCTCCTGAATCATGGAAACTGTGATCTCCTACTCAAGTCAGATATTGTTTTTGCAGATGACCAGCTCTCACGACTAACACACTAATAGTGTGTTTGTTAATTCTTCATGTCCCTAGAGACATCTCACTATTTAGTAGGTGATCCTAGTTAAAGAGCTAAAACACATGCATCTATTTTAATTGCTGTCATTAACTGATGGAGGAAATAGTGAAAACTGATGGAGGAAATAGTGAAAACTGATGGCAAAAAAAGAAAAAAATGATTTCTATTATTTTCTAAATTGAACCTTCATGGTTATCCCCGTTGCTTAAATCCAATAAAAACGCAATGCAATTTATTTATGAACATTAGCACCCACCAAGTCTCTCCTAATTTCACCCTGCAGAAAGTCACTCATTCCCACCTGAGCCCTGAGTAGGTCTCTGACTAATGCTCCACCCAAAGACTAGAAGGAAAGATTCACTAATTTGTCTTTCTAATCTCTACTTTCAAAACTGTAGCCGATGACTTCCTTGGTGATCCAGTGGCTAAGGCTCTACACTGCCAATGCAGAGGGCCCAGGTTCAATCCACGGTCAGGGAACTAGATTTCGCAGTTTCGCAGGCTGCAAAGAAGATCCTGAGTGCTGCAACTAAGACCAGGTGCGCGCGCGCGCGCACACACACACACGCACACGTATATGTATATGCATATATATAAACTGTGGCCAGAGGGGAGAGGTTCTGACTTCTCAATCTCCTTAATTCTGTTCTTGTGAGATTTCCCATGGCCCTGAACTGAACACCAAATTCTGGCCCCTCTCTCCAGTGCAAATCGCTTTCTTCTTTTCTGAAGTTGTCTCGCCTTCGTAAACCTTAACACATTTCAAGCACCGTCGGAGGTTCCCCCTGGCTTCCTGTCAGCGGCGCACCGGCCGCTGAGGCCCTGGTCGGAAAAGAGGGAGAGGGCGGCCTAGAGGCAAGTGTCGCCGGGTACCTGGCGGAGGGCAGAAGGCCCGGAACTAGCCTTCTGGACACCCTCTGCTCGGCTTCCGCGGGGCGCTTCAGTGTACTGGCCTCTGCGGATCTCGTTCAAGGCGCCACAGGTTGCCTTGAGGAAGCGAGAAGCTCAGCTAGCTCTGCCTTCCGCATCCGCCGCCGGGGTTTTGGCTCTGAGACAATGGTGTTACCATAGGAACGGAATGCTGCGGGAGGCGTTTAGCGTCCGCGCCTGTAGCCACGGCGACGCGGGCACTTCCGGTCCTGCGGAATCCCGGGCTGCCCCAGCCAACTAAAGCTGTTGCCGCCCGGGAGGCTTTCCGGTCCTCCCAAGCGAGATGGGGGCGTCCTGACACTTCCCTCTCTTGCAGCTGTACCGCCTACTATTGTTTTTCTCAATTTGACTTTACCTCTCGGAGATGAAGACCCGGAAAGAAGCGATAAATCCCATCGAAGGATGGAATGGGGCCTCGGGCTCCACGACCTTATTTAAAGCTGCGATGTACCCAGGCTGTATTCGGCGACACCCTGCGCCTCCCGCGCACTCTGCACCCTGCGGTTCCCCGGGTGTTCTGTCTCTCGGGGCACGGCGACGAAAGCCTCAGAACTGTTGACGGTGCTGGCACCGTCTGTGTTGCCTCTCCTGGTAAAATTCGCGCTACACGTGAGTAGTGGAGCGGAGTGTAGGGAGTCAGTAGCTTAAGAAATGGTCCACTAGTTCTGCTAATGATTGGCAGGTCAGAGAATATTTTCCAGGGTACGGGCACACTTGGCAGACACTACATAGCGCAAAGTTATACACCATGTAGCCTTATCCTACCCACCTTCAGTGGCCTGAAAGATGCAGAGTGAAAACTATCATTTAGATCTGCCAGGTGAAGGGGCAGTTGTGGTCAATACCCAAATAAATGGCACTGGCTCAAGTAGCCTTGTGTTTAAGGAGTTGTCATGAACTCCACAATGAGTTAGGGGCCTATGACAAGTCAAATTGGAACTGGTATGTCCTCTCCTTTTCAAAAACGAGCAAGCTCAGTAGAGAGAAAACGAAAATATTTACCAAGAACTTGACAGGTGGTGTTTACATTTAGTGTTTGTTCTTTCCAGTTCCTGTGTTGAAGTTTAATTGCTGTTGCTCCTGGACTGCCAAGATAGCCTTTCTGGAGTTAGGTTGGAGGAGCTGTTTAAGTGAGTTTGCTTTAATATCCCATAAGTTTAAACCTGGATGACCTATTAAAGCTTAAATCTCTACCCTCAAACTCCTGAGCCAAAATTTCAGAAAATCCCACCTGCTTTATTCTCTGTTTCCTAAAAGAATCCTCAGCATGAAACCACGATGAGAGCACTGAGCTGGCCTTTGAAATGGCAGAGTTCTGCTTTGGACTCTGTGCCCTGGGACAGGTCATAGTCTAGGGGACTCGATTTTCTCGCCTCTACTGTGAGAGTATTTGCACCACTTGCTTTCTAAAACCCCTTCCAGTCTCAGGATTCTGTGAGGTTAAACCAGAGATTTTTGTGATTCTATGAATAATATTTAACATGTATGAGGATAAAAAGGAAGAAGTTGTTTCCTATTCTCTGACACATCTCCCTTACCCTTACCTTACAAGTTGGTCTTCGTTGAAGAGTTTTAATGTTCTGTCATGGTAGGAAGTGCCTATGAGACTGTTTCCAAGAGTAATAAAAATAACTTCTCTTTCCTGAACACTTGCTTTGCTGGTCCTTGTAAGGGGAAGTGAGGTGCTGAATAGCCATTGAATTCTCATTCCTAAAGCTAACACTCTGGTGCCATCTCCATTTAATTAGTTCTAACCAGAAGCACGTTGCCCTCATCTGTAAAATTAGAAATCAGATGAGAAGAGCTTTAAAAAGACTCTTAAGAGTTCTAAACCTCTGTGACTTTTTTTCTTTCCTTGCATTTCAACCTTGGCTACAGATGTAAGCTTAGTTATGGAGCTGCAGGAGAGGGAAATATCACCACATCCTGGAGTCTGCAGTAATCCTTAGGATGGACTGCTAAGTGAGGATTCTTGACTTAGTGCAAGAGAGAATTCAAGAGCAAGCCACAGTAAAGGGAAAGAAAATTTATTTACAGAGATACACATTCCATAGGTAGAATGCGGTCGGCTCAGTGAGAGTGACCTCAGGGCATGGGGTCATAGGATTTTATGGTCTAAGTAATTTAATAGGGAGGACTCTTGCTATTTCAGGAAGTGTTAGTCATTCAGTCCTGTCTGACTCTGTGATGGCGTGGACTGTAGCCCACCAGGCTCCTCAGTCCATGGGATTTCCCAGGCAAGAATACTGAAGTGTGTTGCCATTCCCTTCTCCAGGGGATCTTCCCAACCTGGCTCTCCTGCATTGCAGGCAGATTCTTTACTGTCTGAGCCACCAGTGTAGGGATTTCCCAGGAACTGGGCCACTGCCCACTTTTTGGCCTTTTATGGCCCACATCAGAACCAGCATGGCATAAGGGGAGTGATTTTTAGTATCACAATGAAGGTATAATGAGCTATAGATCAATGACCTGGCTATTCTTAAAGCCACCTTGGTTTCAGCTGGTTCCGGCTGGTCTTTATTGCATTCCAGCAGCCTCACTCCATCATCAAGCATTTGTGTCCTGCCCTTTCCCTCTGTCTCAATAGTAGGTGTGCTTCAGTTCTGTTTACTGACTCTGAATTGAAATGCTAGTAATCTGAGACAGTGCTTTTATTAATAGTCTGTTCACGCAACGTTTCTCCCTTTATCCTGATTAAGCATTGCTATTGCAGCACATAGAGGTACCATGTGTAGAGGGTTCCTTCTAAAGTCTTCCAATCCCCAATCAAATGTGATTATCTCGATTATTCCAAACCCAGGAACTGTGAAACTTGAGGACAAGGAAATCCAAATAAACTTTCTCATGGACGGTATAATTTCTTAAAACACATTTTCCGGCCCCTCAAGGCAGGGTTGGATGTCTTTCTTCTGAGCTCCCTTGGTGTCCCATCCGTGGTCTCATAGTCACACACCTAAGGCTGTTTGTGCTCCATTTACTTGTGAGTTTCTCCATGTATCTGTCCATCCCTTTAGGGAAAAATACCTACTGAATGCCTACCATGTGCCTGACACTGCTCTTTCTAAGCCTTAGGCAAGCAAAAGCAGGCAAAGCAATGAAGATTTTGCTCTCCTGGAGCTTCTGTTCTACCAGGTGAAGAAAAACATAGGGCTGCTAGTAAGCACCGATGTCTCTGCAAGTTAGAAAAAGGCAGGTGGCTTAGGGAATAGGCAGCAACTGTGTGTGAACTATGGAGAAGGAAATGGCAACCCACTCCAATATTCTTGCCTGGAGAATCCCAGGGCCAGAGGAGCCTGGCCGGCTACAGTCCATGGGGTCGCAAAGAGTCGGACACGACTGAAGTGACTGAGCATGCATTGTGTGAATTCGGAGAAAACCCTCTTCCCGCTGGTCTCAGGCCCCTGCTAAGGGGTCCAGCTTTGGGAAAGGGACGAACCACCTTCCATGAAAGTAACAAATTATACAAAGAAAAACAAAGCCGGCAAGGGATCTAGAAAGTGATGTGAGCAGGTGGGGAGGGCTGTGCTGCTTTATACAGGGTCTTAAGGAGGACTTCTCTGACAAGGTGGCATTGAGGAAGGACTACAGGGAATAAGGAAGCAAATCAGGCAAATGTCAACAAGGGCATTATAGGATGTTAATAGCAAGTGCAAAGTCCTGGGCACAGAGCAAATTTAAGCGATTCAAAGAACAACAAAAGGTTCAATTAAGAATGAGAGAAAGAGGACTTTCCTGGTGGTCCAGTGGTTAAGAATCCACCTGCCAATTCCAGGGACACAGGAGAGGACGCCTCGTTCAATCCCTAGTCGAGAAGATTCCACATGCCACTGAAACTGTGTGCCACAACTACTGAGCCCGTGCACCACAAGTGAAGCCACCACTAAGAGAAGCCCATGCACTGCGACTGGAGAGCAGCCTCCACTTGCCCAAACTAGAGAAAGCCTGCACACAGCAATGAAGGCCCAGCACAGCGAAAAATAAATACGTGATGAAAGAATGAGAGGAAGAGAGACAGGAGAATGAGTCAGCCTAAGAGGAGATCATGATGCAGGGCTTTATAAGCAATTCATCCATCTAAATCTCCACCTGCCCACTCATCCAATGAACATGGAATGTCTGCTCTGTGGCAGGGCCATTTGACCAGATGTGTGGTCCTGTGAGCAGGAGCTTTATATTCACCACTGAACCTTTAGCATCCAGCAGAGTGCCTGGCTTATTACTCATATTCAGTAACAGTAAACTGTGTCATCTTCAGGAACTCCCCATTATTAGAGGTTCTGGCCTCTGTTATGTCTCCTATTGCTGCTATAACAAGTCATCACAGATTTAGCAGCTTAAAACGACAGGAATTTATTACCTCCTCCTTCTGGAGGTCAAACGTCTGCATGACCATGGCTGGGCTACAGGCTCTCAGTGAGAATTGTTTTCTTGCCTTTTCCAGCTTCTAGAAACCACTCGCCTTCCTTGGTTCTCGGCTCTTCTTCCATCTTGAGAGTCAGCAGTGCAGCATCTTTAAATCTCTGACTCCTTCCTCTGCTTTACAAGAGCCTTTTGATTACAGCCGGCTCACCCAGATAACTCAGGATAATCTCTGTATCAGGCTAATCAGGTCAGCTGATTAACAACTTTAATTCTATCTGAGAACTTAATTCTCCTTTGCCATATAACATAAACTATTTAAATTCCCAGGAGTTGGGACATGAGCCTCTTTGGGAGGGTGTTATTCTGCCTATGAAGAGTGTGTTTAACCTGATTTAAATGTATAGGTTTGAAAACATCTGATGGTGACACACAGGTAATTCTCACTACCTTTCTCCTTTGTTAAATCCTACATTATTTGACCGTGTCCTGCTCCTCTGTCTCCCCTCCACATTCTTCACTAACAATCTGGTACACCCAGTCACCATTCTTGAAATAGTTTCTTCCCATTTTTAGGGCTTGGCTTATAGTGAATGTGCAGAAATGACTCTTCCCTTCTATCCACCTCCATCTCTTGAGGATTTACTCCTCAAAGGAGCCTTTTCATCTGCTGGAACCCACCCACATCGATTGCTCCCTCTACCAGCTCCTGTTGGCCCAATTATGGTGACTGTCATTGATGGGTTTTTGTCCTTTGCTTCACAAATATGCCACACACTCCCTGAATGCTTGACAGTTCTCTGCCCTGAGCAGGTAAACAGAAACTGCTCTCGTGAATGCCTCTGTCTATTGCTTTTTTCAGCTCAGTCTCTGCCTTGCAGTCTGCCTTTTAAACCTTACATCACCCCCATCTTGGCTGGGTGGTGTTTCAACTGCTGTCAGCACCCAGCGTTCCAGTTATGCCACATGGCAAAAGGTTATGCGTCAACATATTTTGGGAGCATTTTCCCCACACAGCATATCATGTGTTGATCTTAAGATCGGTGAGTTGAATTATTAAAGGCTTTGGAGTCAGTCTGAAAGTTTACATAAGAAAAACAAGTTGATGACTCTTACGAAACCCAAGTGAAGAAAAAGACCTTTCTTTCTGACTGTGACGATCCACACGCTATTCTACTTTTTCCTTCTCTGCATTCCTGTATCACTTGATGGAAGCCAGTGTGCAAATGGATAATTTGAAAATCACCCAAATGATGCTCACACATACATACAGACATTTATACACAGCATAGTCATCACGTCAGTTTTAGGGCTGTAAAATACTGGAAACAGACTAAATGCCCATCAATGAGGAGCTAGTTTAATAAAATACAGCACAATTATACTATGAAACATTATGCAGCAGTTAAAAAGGATGAGAGTTGTGTGCTGACAAACAACAATCTCTTGGATATTTTAGGTGGAAAAAGTATGGTCCTGAAGAATGAATGAAGTGTCCATATTTAAAGGGGAAAGTAAAATGTTAGGGTGGCTAAAATGTTCATTAACGATCCAATACATATAGACACAGACTGTCTTAGGTCATTCAAGAAACTAAATAGCTGTTACTTCTGGGGAGGTCAGAAGGAGAGATTTACTTTCAGTTTATCTCATTTATCCTACAGTTATACCGTGATATATAATCATTGAGGGATGATTGTTTCTTTTCTTACCCTGCCGTTGGCATATGACAGCTCTTTCCATTTAAGAAGCCTGGTTTGGATTTATCTAGGTTAAGAACTCATTTGAGTGTCCCCAGGAAATTATTTTCTGAGTTGAACGGTTGGCCTCTATTGATGTAAGCTCTTTTTAGGGAGCATGCACTTGATAATTTAAAATAACAGTAGCCTCAGACATATTTTTGCATTATTTTCATTGGTATCTTTTGTCCTTTTTCTTTTCAGAGGGAGGAGGTAAGCAAGTGTTCAGTCGAGTATTATGGTATGCCTTGGCAGCAGCAGCCCCTGAGCAAAGGGAGATGGCCTTGTTACACTGTGCTATGAAGAATATGAGCTACTTAAATAATTGCACCCATTTCATTGTCATCTGGTGTTTCAATTATGATTTCAACCTGCAAGAATTCACGCTACAGGAGTTTTTTTCAGGAATGAATTAACTTTGTAATGTGACGGGATAATGTCTCTGACTTTTTAAAAATAAACCATGTTATATATTCAGGCTTCCCAGGTGGTACTAGTGGTAAAGAACCCACCTGCCAATGCAGGAGACATAAGAGACATAAATTTGATCCCTGGGTCAAGAAGATCCCCTGGAGAAGGGCGTGGCAACCCACTTCAGTATTCTTGCCTGGAGAATCCCATGGACAGAGGAGCCTGGCAGGCCACAGTCCATAGGGTCACAAAGAGTCAGACAGGGCTGAAGTGACTTAGCACACATTTTTTTTACTTTTTCAAAATAGAAGAGAAAAAAAAAAATCTAATCGAGATTTTTAAATGGTTAAAAAAAAAAAAGACTGCAGATCAACTGAGAGGCAATTTTCAATGAAATAACTGTGATGCAAGTGTTCCAAAGTGGCTGACGACTGGGGGAGAGTTCAAGGTGGTCCCAGGAGCTAGAATATGGGAACGGTATGACATACTGCGTGAGAGATAGCAGACAACGGCCACCTGCTGAACATGCCACGGGGCATAAAAACCCTCACCCTGAAGTGCTACTGAGCTGATCTTCAGAAGCCCTACAGGGCATGATAATGAAGGCGCCCAAAATCAACAAGGGAGATGCAAAACGAAACAAAAGTTTATTTTCTGCAGTATTTTTCTGTAAATTACAAAGGCAAAATGCTAAACTACAGCATGTAACTTCAGTATTTAACCAGAGTACTTGAAATAAATATGCATCCTGAAACAAGATAAAAGGCTACACTTTGTCAGGCATCCTACAAAATGTCTCAAGTTTTACACTCTGCAGCATTTCTGTGTGGGGGTGGGGTGGGGGTGGTTTTGTGTTTTCTTAAGTGCTGTGACAGAAAGTCCTTTCACATTTTTCTTTGGAGCATGTTGGAAATTGCTGAACTATAAACAACTTAAGAAAAGTAACACCAAGTTCGAAAGCCATTTCTGCTTCGCTGTCATTGGCCCCCATTCAGCACAGGGCTGCCAAGTGGTCTCTGAGCGCAGGCAGCCCCATCAGAGCCGGCCTGCACTTAACAGTTCTATACGTTAGAGACTTCTGTCTTCAGTTTATATCCCTCATAAGATCAAGGCCATAAAGGAAGCTGCAAGCAAGTCAGAAACATTTTTAACCTGAAAGTAAAGGGAACAGAGATGTTTTCTCCCAAGACCTCGGCGAGGCACCATAATGTTTACCAGGATTTTTTGTTTCAAAGTTGAAAAACCCACTGGTACTCACAGTCCTTCCCGAGGTAATTTACAGGTGCTGGTAGAGTTGGGGCACTCAGAAATATCCAATGGGCTATAGAGGATTTACTATATTTAGAGACGTGCTACAGTCCTAAGAACACAATGGTAGAAAGTCTAGGGGTGTTGGTGGTAGGACATTTTGAGTGGAATATATAACCACCTTCTGCTATAGCTGAAAATGTGGAGAAAGAAGTTATATATATATATAAAGTCTTAAGCATGATTACCTAAAAAATACTTTGTTAATATAGTCTAATGTAAATTTCACTTACTTAGGGATTTAGATATGAAAACATCTTTAAGAGCCAATAAAAATATTGTACAGAAAAAAAAAACACTTTTAAAAAATTGAGGTTAAAAACTATGAGGCATTTCTTTTGGCTGTAAACACACAGTTTACTGTCCCTTGTTGAAACACAAATGTTTGGATTTCCTGAGCTTCGTGGATAACAAACAGCAGGAGGCAAGTTTGCATAGAAAATTTGCAACATGTCAGCAATGTACTTAAGAAAGAACTTTTAAGGACAATTTGTGTTTGTTTTTAAACTTCATATTTAAGTTAATAGTGCTCATCTGACTGTAAGATTGACAAGCAGGGTGGTGAGAAATATAAGGCAGATGGGGAAAAAATGGAATTAAAGTTTTTAAATCCACAGGACATCATGATAAAGGATCTTAAGCACATAGCGCATAACTAGTGTCATACAAATTTGGTTAGAAATTAAGTTGTGTTTCGGGGTGGGGGTGGGGCTAGGAAACCAAAAGTAAAGAGAATCCTACTGTGCTGAATGGCACGGCCTGAGGGTAGGAACAGGAGCACGGCTGCATGGAGCCCCTTAGCTAGGCAGGTACCAGGGAAGATGCCCCGCTGCCAGCGCAGAAACCAGACTCCTGGGCGTGACTGATCCCAGCTCTGGATCAGAAGGGGTGACCGCATCTTTCCCCTCTGCTGCTCTGAAGTCTCTCAGCGGTTCTACGGAGGACAGTCTTCTCCAGGGACCTGTCCTCAGAAAGAAGTCTCTGGAAAGGGAAGACGTTCTATGATAAGGGTCACAGTGATACCACGAATGAGAACAATGGCAGTGGCTGCCGACAACTCCGGATATAACACAAAGGTGGACAACAAGGGGCCAGTGTCCTGCCAAGGAATCCACTTTACTTCTTCTGGGACTGGTTCTTACACATGGTAAGGATTTGCTTCAGTACTTTTTGGACATCTTCATCCATCTGGCCCTAGGAAAGTCCAACACAAGACACTCATTAGAATAACCTATGATATCATGCCTTGGACACAATTCACGTGGGATGATGTGGGGTGGCGAGGAAGGAGGTGAGTAAAAGGCAGAGGCTGCTGTCCCACAGGAGCATCAAAATGCAGAAAATAATAGGGGCAGAGGGGAGGCTGAATGCTCATTAGAAAACTGAACGTCAAAAAGGTTTAAAATAAAATGACACTCATTAGAACCTAAATCCTGGCACTGCCTCCCCTAGGGAGTGAGATGATTGCCAGGCATAAGCCCTTAGATGTCCCCCGGGTCTTCCCAGGAAATGTGAGCCCTACCCATTCCCACATTTCCAGGAGGAACTGACGCAAAGTGAGGGCCCTGATCTTTTTCCTCCAGAGGAGGAGGAGGCTGGGTCTCGCAGCAGAGCTCTCAACAAAGGGTTTCTAGAACCTTAACAGCAAATGAGAGCCCTGACCATCCCAGGAATGCGACGGCACCAATGGCTCGGCAAATATCCTCAGGCCTGGAAAGTAACCCCCAACCTCCTTCTCCGGACGTGTAACGGCCACCTCCTCATTCAGCACTCAACAAAGGAGGCAGCTCCCCATTAACAGGGGAAGGGGCTCCCAACACAAAATCCAAAGCAAAGCAGAAGGTATTTGAAAAAGCTTTCCATTGAAAATCCATCTCCTCAAATTCTCATCCATTCTGCTAGTTTCAAGACGGGGATCTGGACAAGCCCTGCTATGGTGTCTCTTTAGGATCCCCAGACATCATACCTGCACAGCGTAAAGAAGATGCATCCTGTAAACAGATATCACTTCCTGGTGTTGTTTCTTGCATTCCTAGAAAGAGACAATTTGACACTGTTCAAGAGCCTGTTGTGTGTGTCACTCAGTTGTGTCTGACTCGAGACCCCATGGACTGGAGCCTGCCAGGCTCCTTTATTTATGGAATTCTCCAGGTAAGAATACTAGAGTAGGTTGTCATTCCCTTCACCAGGGGATCTTTCTGACCCAGGGATTGAATCTAGGTCTCTGGCATTGCAGGCAGATTCTTTACCATCTGAGCCACCATCAGGGGCTTAAGAGACCTTAAAAAAAAATCCTAGGAGAAGGCTGTGGCCAAATGCTACCCTAGTGATTCCTTCCAGCCAGTAGCACAGGAAGCTTTTGAAATTGCTGTGGACTTGATGGGGTGTGTGGTTTGGAACACTTGTCAATATTCTTAGGGGAAAAAAAAAAATCTTTCATATCTTGGCATATGTCAACTCCAGAAGAAAATTCCTGTAAAAAGTAGTTATTATAATCCCATGTTTGTTTAAACAAATATAAATACACATACTTAGGCAAATGTATTCAAACAAAGTAAACAACAGTGCAAGGAACTACATCAAATGCAGTTACTGTCTCTGAGTGGTTAAATTATAGACAATGTGTATCTAGACTAGCTTCTTCAGGGTTTTTTTTTTTAATCTTTCAACTTTTCTAAAATGACCAAATATTTATTAATTTTTAAAATGTTATCTTATAAAAAGAGTTGTTGATCACCTACTGTGTTACCAGTGGTATATAATCCCTGGGGAATTCAGTGATTTTAGTTGTGTACTGAGGAGGTAAACAGGGTGATGACCCCAATCTCAAATGGCCCCTCAGCACAGCTGTTAATGCTTTTATTTCTTCTTGCTGAGATGTTATTCCAATTCCTCTCAGTGACTATTTCGAGGATCTCAACTCAGCTCTTAACTCTTCTAAGAAGAGGCCTTTCTTCCCATTTCCCAATGGAAATCGAAACTATCACATATGGATCACTTAAAAAATCAACTGAGGTCCATCAGTATCTATTCTTACCTCCTTCCCATCAGTGTTAGATATGAGGTGTCCTTCTCATTTAAGGACAACCTTGGAACCTTCCATCTTTGAAGTTCATGCCACTAGGAAGTATACTTGGTAGCTCTCTCTCTGCTAATTCCTCCTACCTCTTGGTTCCCTCCACTCCATCATTTATAGCTTTGTCTTCTGATCACTGTCTTCTTTTCTGGTCCTGCTTCTGTCATCACTTGGCTGACTTTAGTATCCACAAAGATGAACCACCTACCACCCTGGCCTCTCAGTCCCTCAACCTCAGCTTCATGACCTGTGTCTCTTCCTTCCAGCCACTCACTCTTATGGTTGTCTCCCTGCCTCAGTCATTATCTCCAAGATCTCAGTTGAAAGCATCCCATTCCCTCACCACCATCTCCTGTCTTTCTAGCAAATCTGCATTAGGCTTCCCCTGCCTCCCACTGTTTCTCTTCAGCTCCTGAGTCACTTCTCCAGCAGTCAGTCTCCAGCCATCCACACTCCACACCTCCACTCCAAGCTGTGCTTGCTGCAGCTACCATGGGCCATCTAAATGCCACATCCTTGCTGCCTCCTACTCATCTAAGATTCAGTACAAGCATCACTTCCTGCAGGAAGCCTTCCAAGATTTACCCAGATTGGCTATGCACATTGCCTTTCTATGCCCACAGCATGTTGGTCATCTCTCAACAAATGCTTACCACACTGAGTACATTGAGTAAGCCATTATATTCCATGAAAGCAGGGACTGTGTCTTATTCATTTTTATATCATGGACACCTGGTACATTACTGATACATAGAAGCTCATTAAATGCATGTTGGATAATTGTAAGAATGACTATTTAAACCATTAGTACTTTATCTACGAGTCTGTGATAACCACTTGATCAGAAAAATGACCTGCAAAACAGTCAAAAGCATCTTCTCCTTCCCTGACTACAACTCCACTGCTAGAGCTGGTAACATAAAAAAGCTGGTTTTGAACTTTGTGGCCAGAGGGAGTAAGGACTGTAGAAACCTGAATTCACTAGTATCGATCTGTATTGAAGGAATCACAAAATCCAAGTTCATGTAAATGGAAGCCAGCAACAGTCCAGGGTAAACTAATCTTCATGTAGAAAACATTCCATACCCTCATCAACTAAAGGGCTTCCTAGATGGCTCAGTGGTAAAAGAATGCGTCTGCCAGTGCAGAAGATGCTGGAAACTTGGGTTCAATCCCTTGGTGGGGGAGATGGAGGAGGAAATGGATCCCACTCCAGTGTTCTTGCCTGGAAAATCCCATGGACAGAGGAGCCTGGTGGGCTACAGTCCACAGGGTCACAAAGAGTCAAATACAACTGAGTGAGCATGCAACAATGAAAACTTTACATATTCTATAGCTTTGTCTTCTGATCACTGTCTTCCTTTCTGGCCCTGCTTCTGTCATTACTTGGTTGACTTCAGTATCCACATGGATGAACCACCCACCACCCTGGCCTCTCAGTCTCTCAACCTGAGAGGCCCTCCAAAGATGCCCATGTCCTAATCCCTAGAATCTATAAATGTTACCCATCAGTCAAAAGGGACGTTTTAGATTAAGGATCCTGAGATGGAAAGAAAGATTATACCGGTTATCTGGGTGGACCTTAAATGTCATTACTAGGGTCCTATCAATTCAGTTTAGTTCAGTTGCTCAGTCATGTCCAACTCTTTGCGACCCCATGAATCGCAGCAAGAGGAGGCAAAAAGGTCAAAGGTGGAAGGACAGAACCAGAGGCTGAAGGGATGTGCTCTGGGGATGAGGGAGGGGCCATGAGCCAAGAAAAGCAGGCAGCCTCCAGAAGTTTGAAAAGACAACCAGATTCTCCCCTAGAGCCTTGAAAGGAGCCAGCCCTGCTGAGACCTAGACTTTACTGTTGTGAAACTGATTTCTTTGAACTTACGATCTCCAGGACTGTCAGTAATAAATCTGTGTTGTTTTAAACCAAGTTTCTGTTGCTCTATTACCACAGTCACCAGAAACAAGTACAGACGTGAAAGAGCTTTCCTGGGTGAAATCAGGACAGGCGCCAAGAAGCAGCTTCAGACATGTGGATATACAACCACCAAACATCCTGGCCCCCTAATAAGAAACATCTCGACCCGCTGCCAGAGATGGTAACTACTGAAGCAGAAAAACGGAGAAAGGGGAGCGAGTGAGTGGAAGAGGGAACAAGACGAGAAGGCTCCTGCCGCTATCCTGCAGACGCCTCCCCTCCCAGTGACACACGGAACTCATTCTCATTGCAGGTAATGACTGGGAAAGCCACCAGCTCCCTCTCTGGCCCTCACCTGAAGGTCTTTAGTCAACTGCTCACTGACGCACGACTCTCTTAGGCTGGGCAGCTTTCTGCCAGGCTCCCACCTGTCCCCCACCCCAACCGCCCAGCCAGCCACGGAAACAGCCCCGCTCACCGCCAGCTGGTTCTGCAGCTGTTTGACCTGCTGCTGCAGCACCTCCAGCTGCTGGCTCTGCCTCTTGGAGGAGCTGGCGGAGTAGGAGAGCTGCGAGAGGCTGTTCAGCGCCTCCTTCAACTTGGTGACTTCCTTGGACATCTCATTTATCTAGCGAGAAAGGAAAGCTCTTATCAGGAGAGAAGGCACCCGCAGAGGCAAGATGCCAGCTGTTTCTCCACTGGGAACCCAGCCTCGACTGGCCTCTGGGCCTGGAGCAATCCCTTTTCTTAATTTTTCAAAGAAAAGCCATACAATGAAACAACAAGGTAAGAGTCAGGGAAACCAACAAACCTATGCAGACAAGAGCCCTGGAATGAGACTGTGCTTGGGGCCATGAAGGCAACAACATCTGTTATGTGGATTCCCTTCTTTCACCCTTAAGATGGGGGACTGTTTAAAAAAAATAAATCAAAAACAGATTTCAGGTATTCTATATTTGGAGCCAGTTAGGCTTTGTTCCCTATTGCTGCCATAGGCAATCAGAAATAAGTTCTGGGAACCCTGGTATCTCTGATATCCTACCTTGTAGTGAAGACAATCCCCACCCCCACCCCCTCTCAAACCCCTGCTTCCTTGGCTTTGGAAGCTCTTTTGGAAACATCCATGATAATAAAGGAATAAAAAATAAATAATTTTCTAGTGAATGCTGTTCAGAACATCTAACCTGGGAGACTGGGCATCTGGGGATGCAGAGCAGATCCAAGCACAGAAGCATCCTTCACTTCTCCCTTACTCTCCACCTTCCTCCATGCTTAGCCCATCTCGAGTTGCCTGGCCCCCCACATTCCTCCCTTTCTCTCCTGTTGCACACCTTTGAAAATGAGGACCAGGGAGGGCTTTTAAACTGACTCAAGAGTAAGCTCATGGGGTTTAGGGAAGCAGTATCAAGTCTGGCAGTAATTGATTTTCCATATGACAGAGGAAATCTGTCTGGATTCCAACAGAGTAGAAGTTTAAGATGGATCACAAATATTTCTCAGCTGGTGGGTTCACTTCTGGCCCCTGACACTTGGCAGAGCTTCTGTAAAATAATTTTTAAGGGGAAAATATGTACCACACATTTGAAAATACTCTGGTGTGAGGGAAGTAGTAGAAGATGAGTGCTTTCTCTCTCTTTCTTTTTAAATAAATGTCCACCCTACTATTTTTAATGTGGTGTTGGGGACAGATGGAGTCCTGTGTGGAGCCTTAGTTCATTCACAATAGCTTAGTGCTAACAAATGCTAAAAATGCTAATTTCAGTAGATGAAGGTTCAAAGCACCAGGGTTTGCTAGCTAGAAATTCAATAGCAACAGTCTCACCAACCTTCTTGTCTTTATCCTCTTCCAGTTTTGAGGAGCTCTCGGAATGTCTCTTCATTTCTGCGAGTTCTTCCTGAGCATGCTGGCATTTTTGCAGAAGTTCATTTACTTCCTGCTCTTTGGATTTCAAGAGAGTCTGAATGTTTTCCTTTTCCCTTTTCATTTGCGAGACCTCACTTCTAACCTGGGCAACCTCTGAATGGGCCTTCTCTTTCTCTTTCACAGAATCCCTTAATTTTGAGGCCAACACACTCACTTCACTTTCCAAAGATGACTGGAGCTTCTCGTAGGCAGACCGGGGCACCATCGCGTCGGTCACAGCCGCCTTCTCCTCTAGGAGCTGTTTCTCCAGCTTTGCCACCTCCCCTTCCTTGCTCGCCAGGTGCTCTTTCAGACTGCTTATTTTTCCCTCCATCTCTTTGGCAGTGGTCCGCAGAGTGGTTATCACTTGCAAATGCTCCGTGATGGAGACAGAGTTCTCTTTCTGAGCATCTACCAACTGTTTGAGCTGGGTCAGCTCATTCAGCACTTTTGAATACTGAGACTTCATTTCGGACAGTGCCTCTTCGGCCTTCGCTCTGGATACGTTGGTCACTTGCATCAGCTTCTCATGCTCCGCTTTATGGATATATTCAGCTGTGACGTCTTCTAGAGACTTCCTCTTCCGGTAATCCTCCAGCTCTGCCTGGGCCTCTCTGTACAGCTGAGACAGCTCACTCACCTGCTTGTTGAGTTCATCAATCATCCTGTTCATGGCCTCTTTCATGTCCTCAGCTTCATCACCCGCCTCCTGGGTCACCTGATTTTTCAACGTATCTTTCAGTTTTGTGATTTCTTCTTGTGCCTCTTGATATTTCTCAAACAAAAACGCTTTCTCCTTATTCATATTCTCAATCACCAAGCAATAGGAACTTTTCATTTCCTCGTACTCCTCCCTCAGTGGCTGAATAACTGCCTCTTTCTCCCTCTCTGCCAGCTTCTCCTCTAACTCTCTCACTTTCTCTTTATTTCGTTCACTTTCTTCCAGGGCACCCTGGAGGTCCCGCTTGAGCACGTCCATTTCTTCCTCGGTGATCCTCAGCTCATGCAGGTGCGAGTAAGTATCCACACTTTCCGGTGAGACCAGGCCCAACTTCATCTGCTTCTGCACACTCAGGACTTCTTTCATAGCTTCCTCGTACTTGCTCTGGGTTTCCTTAAGTTTCTGGCTGAGGTCGGAGCCGTTCTCCGAGATCTCGGCGTTGTTTAAGCACACTGATTCTGTCCTCCTGGTCTGGAGCTCGGCCTGCAGCTGTTTCCTCTCCGCTTCAGAGCTCTCCAGTCTCTTCTGCAAGTCGTGTAAAACCTCTTGGAGTTGCTGGATTCTGACATCGCTGTCGAGAGTGGATTTACTTGAGGAATGTGTTATGACAGATGGAGATGGTTTGGAGTCTAGAGGAGGGGTTTCACTAGGTTTGCCCAGGGATGGGACCAAATCAGTTTGAGTAGAATGGTAAGAGTCAAAGCTCAGGTCTGTTTCCCCCTCCCTGGGTGTTTTGGCCTGGAAAGAAGGCAAGAATGAAATGACACCAAAGGTGTGGTTAGATGAGCAAGCAACTGCAATCAGGGAGCAAATCCAAACCTTGAGTATGGGGGAGCAGCAGTATCATTCTGCACGCGTCCTCTTGCCCCATGAAAAAATATGGTCTGGGACACAAGAGTCAGGCTTAACAACACTAAGCTTATTCTGTGCTCTTGAAGGACAGATTATGTTTGCCACTTTAAAAATGCAAGAGCTGTTTTGGCTGCGGAGCTTCTGACTCAAATTTTTCTTTGTTTCTCATATTATTGTAGCTGCCCTACCTCTTGCCACATTCTTAAATCTGCGAAATGATCAACTTTACTAAATGAATGACCAGTCATATATATGGTGTGCATATAGCTATCTATTGTCATAGATATCATACTAGGTATATAATTATATAATTTACCAGTTTATAAAAATAATAAATTAGTGAATAAGTCTCAAGAAACAAATAATTTGAAAGCATAAAATGCTAAAGGGTAATTATATTTAAAAAAGAAGAAACCAATGTTGGTGTCTAAAACAAAATACCCAACTAACCCTGAGAAATCCAATAGCTTGACCCGACTGAACAGACTGTGGTAGTGATCTATTTACCTACCTGTAATTTATCTTGTAATTCCTTATTGTGTAAGGTAAGAGAAGCAACTTTTGCTTGCAATAGGACAAGAAGATCTTGCTGGTCAGCCTCAGAACTTATATCCAATGAGCTATCAGCTATTAGGAAAGAGAAAGACAATTTAAAATAATATTTTAAAAATTTAACTATTATTTCTCTGACCTCTAACAAACTCACTTTCTACCCAATCCAGTTCTTCCTTCTCGTCCAGACTAGGGATGAAAGCCCCATTCAGCTGGATAGGGGTCTCCTCACTCCCTAGCATAATAATGGATGCCTAGATACAAATAAATTTATCTGAAAACTAATGGATTTGGTTACACAGTTTCTGTTCACTTGATTAAGTGCCACACCTTAGTTGTTTTTTATTCCTCCCATGCCCTATATATCCATGAATCCTTTTAGAAAGATCTCTGGAATCTGGTTTATTTCTTATCCCCATCCCTATTACCCTAGTTTAGACTTCATCACCATACCTGGTTAACTGTACAAATGGCTTCCTAACAAATCTTTCTCTCTCTCCTCTAGTCAAAATGTAGCCTGTACCAACAACACTGTCAGACTAATCTTCCTAAAACATACTTTGATGGGGTCATGCCTTTGGTTCAAGTGCTTTAATTGCTCTCCCTCCAAAAATAATCTCCAACTTCCTTTATCTGGATTAAGGCCTCTCGGATCTGGCTCCAATCTACTTTTCTTTCAGGTTTATGACTCATCACGTCTTTCCCCAGTATCCCATTTTCATCAGATTTACACCCTCTCTATTCTCAACATAAGGTTGCTTCTTTAATTTTTCATCCATATGATTGCCCTTGTAGCATATCTTTGGCTGGATAACTCTTAGGCATCCTTCAAGACCCACATCAGACCCTGCCTCTTCCTTAAGGCATTTGCTGACCACCCCTGCATGAAACAGGAGTTTCCGAATCCCACAATAAACACTGCTGGTAAACCACAACTGTTTGACATTCTACTGATTATCATGCTGAAATAACATCTAAAGCTATGCTACTCAAACTTCTCATTGAGACAAGACAAGAAATGTGCTCCAGAATGTCATTCAATATACTGCTTCCTTCACCCAGAAAGTCTTCCTATGGATAAAAATTGTCAGGTGGATGAAACAGTGTGCTTGGCTGGATGACTTTTTGGAGCAATCCCTTTTTTTAATTTTAGACTGGCAACAGTTTAGAGACCACACTCTGAACAGCACTGATCCAAATTTTCACCTCTATTTAAAAAATTTCTCACAACCATTTAATGCAAAGATGAAAACTTGAGTCTTAATTTAGAAGGATGTGAAATGACATCTCTTCACAGAAATGCTTACTAATGATACCTGGGGCCTAAACCACAGCTTTATGAGTGTTCTTGACCTAGAGTCTGGTCAGCTTGGAATGAGTCAGGGGATTTGGGAGCAGGAGGGTAATTCTAAGCAACAAAAATTACTTCTAAGATAGGATGGATGGCTTTTAAAGTATCCAATGTAACAGTTGTGCAGTTATATTAACATTGTTCTCTACCAGGAATATTTCTTAACACATTATTAACTGGAGCTGTATTAACGTCTCAAGCATTAGTTTCTGCAAAAATTCCCTAGCCAATAATATGCTTATATGTCTAAATTTTGTAAGTTAAGTGCTCCAAACACATATGATGTGCATAACATTGAGAAACTGGATGCTGGAACAAAAAAGGGGCCTTTGAAATAATCTACTCCACATTTCAAATTGATTCTGAAGGTACTGTACTACATTCTTAAAGGGTAAAGCAACAGGATGAACTCAATACAATGAATCAAACCTCCTTGAAGACAATATGATTGCATGTGATTTGACACTCTTTTCACGTCTGTTTAAAATCCAAAGTAGAAAAGTTCAATTTTGGCAGCTGTGGAGGTGCTCAGTTGGTTCTCTCTTCAAGAAATAACCTGCTGCTCAGTCGCAAGAAGGGTCACTACTGGCAGCTCACAGCCCGTGGACCTCATTGCAAAACAGTGTCTTAAAATGCATAAAATAGAATGTACAAGCTACAGCAATCGGCAAGCTTCTTTCGTAACCCACTAAACAACAAGATCTGGAAGCAGGTCTAATATATTACTGCCATAGTTTCTAGTAGAGATACTATAAATGATCTTTCAAGATATTTGTAATAACAGTAAGGGGATATGATACCATCTGTGAGTTCTCCTGGTGTCAAAATCACTGATCTGCTAACACTACTGGGGCTTTCTGTCTATATTCATCACTGAAGGAAGTGCCAATGTTAAATTAGGAACAGATGAAAACAGAGATTTCTTTTTTCATACCCAACCTCAGGGACTCCTTAAAATCTAGGTGACAGTCTGCTGAAGTAGACAGCATCAGACTGTGAAAGACTGGCAGTGTTTGGGTGGTACCCAAGGTTCTCTGACTTCCCCAGACAGGGTATCTCTCCTTGGCCTTTGCTCTCTTAAAGGGACATGAAATAGAGACCAGTCATGGGGACAGGCCCCTTCGTCTTACCTGTAGTACTGGCACTTTGCCTGTCTCTGGTCTCTTGTATAGAACTAATCTCAGCCTGCTGGAACACAAAAATGACTTAAAATATATTCCTGAATGTCACACTCTGCAAAAGAGTCCAGCCAATTTTTCTCCTTGAGTTTACACAGGTTGGTATGATCCTACTATGAAAATAGACCATCTCCAGGAAAGAAGATATTTTAAAATATAAGTACATAAAAGCAACAATTAACCCCTGAGATAAAATTTTTATTTAGAGGTTCTTAAGGATATATTCTCAAAATATTACAAAATGAAACCTCATGAATATTACAAAAATCTTTGAAGATTATAATAAACTTACATAATAGCTAATTCAGTGGGCTGTGTGCCAAAACTTGAGATTGTGAATACTACTTTCATAGTAAAGACAAATAGAAGTTTTACTTATCTGGGTAATAAAATACATTAGAAGTATTTTTAGCTTTATCACTTTATCAATAAACCATTAATATATTAATTGCTTTTAAGAAAAATGGTAATCAATGAGACCTGTCAGGGAAAATACAGGTAATTTTATAAGGGAATAAGAATTCTTATGGCTGTGGACTGACAATCTCCTAAAGATTTCCTCTAAACCTGTATCCCCGAATATCTGTCTTTTAGTATATTGGAAAAATTCTTGTAACTTCAAAGCCAAACTCTCATTCCAAAACAAAATACAGTTTCTTGCCAGAAATTACTAAGTTTTATCTAGATATACCATAGACCGTGATGAGAGAGATAATTTTTCAGCAAAGGAACTTTTGTAAACGCTCAAATGCTAAAAATAGAGTGGCTCATTTTTGGCAAGTGCTTATCATAACAAAAGCTTTATTTTCACTTAAAAAATAAGCACTTATTTTTATTTTTCAACTCTATTACAGTACAATAAAGTATATACATTGAAAGCTTTTAATTTGAGGAGTTTTAACAGATACACACCCAAGATACCACTATAATCAAGATTCAGAATATCCCCATTACCTCTTAAGTTTCCTCATGCCTCATTAGCCAATCCCTGCCATTCCCGGGCAATCACACTACTCTCCTTTTTTCATTTTCTAGAATTCCTATAAATGGAATATTACAAGGGATGAACTTCTTTGAGCCTAGCTTCTTTCATTCAGCATGATGGTTTCCAGATTCATCTATGATACCGCTTGGCCAGCACTTCATTCTCTTTTTATGGCTAATTAATGCTCTTATATACGGATATATCTCATTATCTTTATCCATTCACTTGTTGTAAGACATTTGGACTGTTTCTAGTTTGGGGATATTTGAAAAAAGATGCTATAAACATTTGTGTACTTTTTGAGACATATTTTAGTTTCCCTTGGGTAAACATCTATGAGTGAATGGCTAGATGATATGTTAGGTGTATGTTGAACTTTTATAGAAACTGTCAGATGGTTTTCCAAAGTAGCTATGGGCTTCCCTGGTGGCTTAGATGGTAAAGAATTGCCTGCAATGTGGGAGACCTGGGTTCAGTCTGTGGGTTGGGAAGATCCCCTGGCGGAGGACATGGCAACCCACTCCAGTATTCTTGCCTGGAGAATCCTTATGGACAGAGGAGCCTGGAGGGCTGCAGTAGATGTACCATTATACATCCAACAAACAGAGCATGAGAGTTCTAGTTCTTCCACATCACCACCACCCATTGGCATTTTTTTATCTTTTAAAACTTTAGCTATTACAGATGGTGTCCCTTTTATCTTTCTGTGATTTTTTTAAAGAAGTAAGTCTTTTTACACTCTATTTCTGAAAAATATAATTTGTCATATTGTTTTTGGAATGCATTTGCTACCTTTGAGCATAATCATATTAGAAGATATTAGGATGGTAATTATAAAGGCATAACTTCCTTTCCTTGCCTTGTATTTTAATAAAATCTAGTTAACACAAGCGAGATGATAGGTTGATAGAAGCTTTTTCAGATCAATGTGCATCTAAGTTAAACACAAATTTATTTTTAGTAATTCTTAGATGGGTGAAACAAATACACAATTATGCCATTGAAATTTCACTGTAACAAATATAAATTTTACTTTTTTTCCAAGTATAATTCCCTAGTGATACTTAGGTAAACAAATATTAAATTGAAATACCCTCTCATTCCTTAAAATACATTTCAACCACAAATCTAGAGAATCAGGTAGAATGGATTTACTAACATTTTAAAAATAAATACATATTACTTTTATAATTATATAAAAATATATAATTACTTCTTAGTAAGACATCAGCGACTATCCATTTCTTTCTTTTTGATTGATATTATGTCAACTCAATTTGGAAAGATGACTGGTTATCAGGTAAGTTCTTTGTCCTTTTCTTAAATGAAGAAAATTAAATATTAGTTAATAAATATATTCAGTCTACTCTTTTTTTACGGAGTCCTCACCAGAAAAAATAATCAGAGGACAACTTCTGATGAAAAGTTTGTAAACCAATGACTAGGAAGTATATTCTGTTTTACCCAGTGCTATATAACTTAAGTCAAATCTATTGTATATCTTAAAATTAAGTAATAAGTTGGACACAGAAATAAAATACCTTGAAGGGTGGTTCAGCAAAAAATACTGATTCCTTTCCTGAAAGTGGTGTTGAAGTTATTGATCTTGGGGAAGACACATCACTCAACTAAAAAACCAAAATGAAAACCATCAATAAGGAATCCTTCTTCAAAAGTTTTTCTTCTCCAGTGCCAAAGAATTAGCCTATTTAACCAATGCAAATAAATCTAACAGTAATTATGCTTAGTTTCAATTAATTCAATGGTAACGTATTTTCAATACAATTCACCTATCTCAAAGACTTTCTGAAAATTTACAGAGTAGAATTAACTAAGAAACTTTGCTCCTATATTCACTAGAATTAACTTTACAAGTTTATAAAACTTCTATTGCAGATTGAGAATATTATTAATGAATATGCTAACATATTTAATATTACTTATTGAAGGAGATATTCCTCTTAAATACTTGATAAGGATTATTCTTTTTATGGCCTATGCTTCTTTTAATAATAAACCCTGGCTTGTTTTTATTTATCATTTCATAGTTACTCAAGCTTCCTCTTCTACTCAGTAATCACCATAAGCTCAAAAATGAAAGCTCCTTTAATGAGAGTCAACCTTAAATGTAATATGAAAGGCAAATATATTTCAATAATGTTTGACAGACCAACTAAAATTCATTTTCAACTAATGCTTCACCAGTCACACATTCTCCCCACTTTACTAGAGCTGTTAATGTGAGCTCTGTCTGAGCTTATCTTAAGGAAAAAGGTCCTCTTCTAGATTTTCAGAATTTTGAAACTTCTAAAAAAAGATAGTCTAATTCTTCAGCTTTTAAATAAGTAAGAATCAACATTATTTCCCTACTATAATCAATATTCTTCATGTCACTATTTGTAGTTTAAAACTGCTAAAGAAAATTTTAAATGTTCATTTACGGGTCAATTTTAAAACAGTTCTTTTCGACCTAAACACAAAATAACAAAATTATGGCTTTGTTGTTATGTTTCTTCAATTGTTGGTTTTCTTTCATTTTTACCTGAGTAGGACTGATAGGAGGTGGTGGAGCTTTGCGTTTTTTTGGAGTTCCACTTCTCTCTGAGCTTATTTTAGAGACTTGATCATGCTGAAAGTTATCACAGTCCAAAGAATGGAGGTGGGTTAGTTAGGTTAGTAAAGTCTGAGTAAATAGCTTCATCAAACAAATGAGAAAAACCTCAACAGTTCATGCACTTTTTACTTTATCAAGTTCTGAAATCTGCTACCAACATAAAAATAAGTAATATGCATGCTCCAAGTGTTCTTCTAGCAGCTCATGCTTTAAAGTAAGAAAATAAAAAACACAAGACAAAACCAGATTAAGTTGGTGTGCAGAACTTGGAAAGGAGAGGATAAGGAATTGTTTACCACAATTTAGAACCCAGAGTATGTTCATAGTCTAGCTCCCATCTTAATGCAAAGCAGTGGTATTTCCCCTACCTTTTCACTACTTCCACTCCTTTTCTTAAAAATGTACAGTTGACCTTCCATATCCACAAGTTCCACACCCACAGATTCAACCGTCTGCATATCCCAGCATCACAGATACAGACAGCCAACTGTACCACACTATTTTATATAAGAGACTTGAGTGTCTGCAGATTTTGCTATTTCCTGCAGATACCAAGGAATGACTATGAATATGGGGAAAAGGGAGAACTTCCTCTCTGAAGGTTATGAATAAATAACACAATTAGTACAAAATAAATTCAGTATCAAGTATTTGCTCAGTATGATAATTTTTCCAAGAACCTTGACTTATAAATAATCAAATATATAGCTCATTAATAAACAATAGTGACTATGTTTTTAAGAAAAACTCCAAAGTAACAGCGTAAACTTCTCAATTTCTATTTGTGTAAAATGAATGACATTTTAGAAAAGATCTAATTAAAATGAAAGTGGCAAATCTCATATTTTCATTAAATATTTAACACAGAGTGCTGTAATTCATGTGATATTACAAGTAGTTAAAATACTGTTGTTCTCAGAGTTAAAAATCACATCAAACCTTTTCACACCAGTAGGAAATATTAGTACATTTCAGAAAAAAGATGAATATATGAGTAGCAAGTTTAAAGTTACATGCTTTGGGAACAGGTTAAATCATTAAGAAAATATTTACCACCTTACAATGAATCATTTATTCCAAAGATATTTTACTTCTTAAGTAGTTTCAGCCTAGTCTTAATCACTTTCCTAATGGCCCAGAGTGGTTTAATCAGAAATTCCCACAAGCAATGATAAAAAAGAATCTCCTCTTCCAAAGATAAATACCTGCTTTGGTTTTGTTGGTGTCTTTAAATCTATAGAAGAAAAATGAGAAAAAAAAACTATAACAACCATAATGACTCATATCTACTTTGAATGGGGGGGGGTATATAAACACACACTCGAACACAAACACACCCATATACACAACATACACAATATTCAACACTTCATTTTTCCCCAGGAATATATTTAAAAGAATAATATATTATACAAATTCCTTTATTCTTTGGGGAAAATGGAGTGGGATAAATTTGAAACAACATTGGCTATTTTCTTTCACATACCAGCATCCTGAGAGATTTTTGATAATAGAAGGCTTTGAATTCCTGCATTTTCCGAGAGTTTGGAATAATGTAAGGCATTGTGTCCAAGAGAATCTATAAGGTTTAGGTCTGCACCCTTTTTAATTAAGGCTTCTACGATGTTTGAGCTGCCAATCTCACAAGCCAGCATGAGAGCAGTTCTAAAGAATGAGGAGACAAAAAATCAGTACTGGAAAACAAAATCTGGAAACTTTTGCTAGGAAATCATTTCATTTGTTTTAAAAACAGAGAAAAGGAGATTAAGTGCATTTAAACCTGTACTACTCTTAATACTCCAGGAGATTCAAAGTGGAATGCTACCAAAATCGGGTAACTGTTTTATAAAATCTCATATTAAATCATAAAAAATATTAGGTCAAATAACATAGACATAACTATGATGGAATTTAAATATGATTGGCACAAATCTTGTCTTTTTCTCAAATCAAGTTTTATAAAGAACCTATAACATTATTAAGCCTGTTTTTTTTTTTTTAAAAAAACAACCAATATGTTTACTTTTATTTTACCTGAAAAGTCAAAGGAAATGGCCTATCCATTTTAACATTTAATAATGTCATCATAGACAAGGTCAGTTATGATGCTCCCAGAGGTCTGGAGAAAATTTTTTTTTTAAGTCAAAACAGATTCTTAATTATCCAAAAAATGCAGAACACAGTAAAGAAGTTAAAACTGCCTTAAAACAAACGATCCAAAGTACAGCTGTGACAACTTCTCAGAATGTGGATATCAGTGAAATCACATGCTTTCTAATTCTGTAGTACCTTCCATTTTTGTCTCTGGAATTTACATCTGCTCCATGATCCAGAAGAAAGCGACAGACCTCACTGTGGCCATTTTGTACTGCAAGAAGCAGTGGTATATTCCCATCCTAGAAGACAAATTCAGATTAAGATTTTAATTTAGAAGCCAAATACCAGATCTGCAAAGGTCCTGATTCCTTCTGTACTTACGTCAAGGCTTGAGGCAAGTATACCATGTCCATTGAGAAATGGCTCTCCATGTTCTGGAGAAATGAAGGGTTGTTTCCTTATGGCATTACTAGGTCCCATGCTCTCTAAGCACTTTCTTCTAAGTATCCTAGCATCCTGCCATGCCATCAACTGTCTTCTTAGAAAGCATATGCTTTCATAATTTTACTAGGTATCAAAACATAGCTTAAGAGTTTATTTGTCCATTACTGACACATGACAAGATAAAGAGATTGATGGAAAGAAAGGTTTGTTTAATATAACAATTGACAATTTCTTTAGAAAAAATTAGATTACCAGCTCATTCAAATTGCAAAATGAATTAAGAATCTCAACATCACAGTATAAAACAAATGAAAAAAATACCAGGAGAATTTATAGGTGACAATTTCCACAATCTTAGGGTGAATAGGGGACCTGACTCAAATTATGCAAGCCATAAAGAGAAGCTCTTATTCTGTTCTTGCATTGAACATACCCCACATATGTGGTTGACAATAATTTTAAGGCAGATGTATTCAAATAGGCAAAGGAAAAAAAGAGTTACAATATATTCAATTATTATAATGTGGGGATATTTAAAAATACAACTGCTACTTAAAGATTAAGAAATCACTCAGAGTAGAACTTCAGAATTCCTAGAAAATTATCTCTGTGAAGTTATAATACTTTCTCGTTATAAAGTATTGAGATTCAGCAAGTGTGAATTTATTTACAGATTCTGAATGTTCACTTCACAATGTCCCCATCAAGTGTAACTTACACATGCCAAGTCCCATGCTATAGCAGGAAATTCAACACCGTAAACAGGAGCAAGAGGCATGTCAATTTATTCTCAAAATAGTCCAGCAAGGTTAAAATAGGCTATAAGTGGTCTTTATAGTTGGAAAACACTATCCAGGAGCACCAAAGATGATATATGGGGTGCAGAAAGAAAACAATAGAACTATTTAGTCTTATTTTTTTACTAAAAGTCAATAAAATAAGTCTTATTAATATTTAGGTTGATAGTAAGCCATGTGTCCATCCTTAGAAATAAATACTGAAAGTGCATGCCGCAAAATGTTTTATTAACGGTTTAAGGACCAATGGGGCTAATACCGAAATCTGTTCTGCACAAGAGAATCTAGGTCAGAAAGCAGCAGACTTTGCCAAATGCTCCAGAAGGAGCCCATGGTGCTCTGGAAACCAGGGTCCATCTCCATTTCTAATGGTCATCTGGTACTTACCAAATCCTTGAGGTTTATGGGGCTTTTGTGCTCGCAAAGGACTTGCACAGCTTGAAGGCAGCCCTGTGCGGCTGAGGGAAGGAAGACACAGAAACCAGAGCAAGTCACAAGGCTAGTCTCACAACCCGGGGCATCAAACACTTCTAGGAAAGAAAAGTTCAAGTCCACCCAGTATGCAGGTGATACTTGGCTACACTGAAGAGAAATGATATCAGGATGGATAAGCAAGCGGTGTTTTAAATTACTGTTTAATTTCAGTGTTGTCAGACCTACCGTCAGCACTTGCCAGTTGGTTGCCTTTAGGCAAACATTTGGCTTAGCTCTTCGTGTATGCTAAGTCACTTCAGTCGTCTCTGACTCTTTGCAACCCCATGGACTGTAGCCCACCAGCCTCCTCTGTCCATGGGATTCTCCAGGCAAGAATATTGGAGTGGGTTGCGGTGCCCTCCTCCAGGGGATCTTCCCGACTCAGGGATTGAACCCGCATCTCTTAAGTCTCCACTGGCAGGCAGGTTTCTTACCACTAGCGCCACCTGGGAAGCCCCAAGGTTTTCTACAACTAGCACTAAAAGAAATGTGTAAATCTAATCATCCCAGAGTTCTGTATCGTTTTGTCACTTGAAACTGTGTGACCGGTAGTAAAATCAAACCTTGATATATAAAATTGATTGAAGATCCTTTTGATCCCCAAGCAAAAACAAATCTGTATCACATATTACCTGAAATCTACAAATGCTCATAAATCTCTCTTAAACGAGAATCTCACAATTAAAATATAACAATCATGACAATGTTTACTAGCTGTTTGGCAGGCGATTGATGAATTCTGGCTGTATTCCTCAGTAAAACCCTACACAACCTGCAAACTGAGGAAGAGGGGAATAATGTCTAGGAAGGATGACAGAAAACAGCATCAGGAATAACAATGGTAAAGTTAATGGCTTAAATAAGGAAAATAAAAATTTACTGTTTCTCATGGTAGAAGACAACAAATAAGAGAAAGAAAATTACCTGCATAATGTAAAGCTGTTTTCCCAGAGCTGTCGATACTTTCAGCTGGGCATTTAGACTATAAGACAAAAGTCAATAAATATGTATAGTAAATTTCAGTTCTATTCAGTTCATCCTTTTCCTGCAAGGTGTGATGCAACTTACTAAGCAAAGTATAAACCTGAATAAGCCCCAGCTGCTGTGCTCCAGAAGCATATGGTTTCATGGGGAGAGACTCACCTCGAAGCAGTCAAGACAGAAGTGAACTGTCACCTGTCCCTTCCATCAGCTCTGCCACCAATAAATCATCCCCACCAGCTAAACAACATGCTCTAGGAAGTCTCATCATGATCCCACCTGTCCCTCCATTTCCTGCCCTAATTCTCTATCCCCCTTCACAAGACCAACCTTCTCCTAAGAATGGCCTGCACACACACCATCTCCCTGACTCTTGTTCATTCCTGGACCTACTGCAGTTGGGTGTCTGCCCTCAGTATTCCTTGAGGAATATTCCTTGGATCAGGGAATCCAAGTCACCAACCACCTTTGTGTTTTTAATGATGACAAACATTTCTGTCCTCCTCTCATCAACCTCTTACCTGTGATCCACTCCCTCTTCTCCAAACACTCTCCTCTCAGCTCCTGGAGCCCTGTCTGGCCCATCCAACTGTGGCTTCCCTCCCACTGCTCTGGCCACCCTTCACCAGAGGGGAACACAGGGCCCCTGGTGTTTCTTCTTCTCTACGCTATCACCCTGGGTCATCTTATCCACACCCACAGCTCGAAACCCCGTCTAGAAGCTAATGCCTCCCCAATGTATATCTTAACAAGTATGTGCCAGGCACTGTCCCAGGAGTGGTTTTAAGGCTGCTAACAACCCTGATTAGATACCATTAACCCCATTTACAGATGAGGAAACTGAGGTACAAAGAAGTTAGTAACTTGCTCGGGTCACAGTAAGTGGCAGAGCTAGAACTCAGACTCAGACAGGCTGCGTGGAGCCCGTGTTCATGTCAGTATACAGCAGACGGCATAACCTACTGCCTGTTTCTCATGGGCACCTCAAAGGCAGCACAAGCAAAACTTCTGGGGTCTCCTCCTGGTACAGCTTGATCCTCCCAACCCACCCTGTCACTGTCAACAGCACATTCATCTCTCTAGTCCCTGAGCAACCACCGAGTCATCCTTGATTTCTGCTTTCTCCTCCTCCCTCACATCTAGTCTACCACCATGTCTGTCAACTCTGTACCCCAAACACACCCTAATCGACTCTCCTCTTTTCCTCCATTATCACCACCTGGTCTGAGCCAATACCTGCTCACCTTGACAGCCTTGACGGCCACCTGGCTGTCTTCATGGTTTGCTTTTTCCTTCTTTAGTCAATTCTCTATACAAATAGAGAGACCGTCTAAACTGTGAGTGTAGCTCTTTACTTCCAAGTCCTCTGCAGTTCCATCATGTCACACAAGGCTGCATCCTGGGCCCTTCTGTTTTGGTGGCCTTACTGTGTAGCATGAGGGATCCCTCATCAGGGATCAAACCCACTACAGTGGACGCGCAGAGTCTTAACCACTGGACCATCAGGAAAGTCCCGTGGGCCCTTCTTTTTCTTTCTCCCTCACTTCCCCCGGGTCCCCTCACTGGCTTTCTTTCCTGCCTGACTACTTAGTGCCCTTCCAGCCTTTTGCACTTGCAAAAGGTCTGACCACAGGCCTTTTGCACTTGCTTTTCTGTCGACTTGGAACGCTCTCCCATGGCTCTCTGCACCGCTTAATTTTCAGCTTGAATCTCAGTTCCTCTACAGGGGCCCTCCTGAACACCTCTCACAATACTCTTGCCGGTTTGCTTCTTAGTGATGTGCAATTTGCCGTGGGCATTTGTGTCTTTGTTCACCAAGCGGCAAGCTCCAGCAGGATGGGGGCTGCTCTGCTCGTGAGTCAACACTCGCCATTTGACACAGCGCGCGGGGCCCAGGGACCACTTGCTAGAAGACATAGCAGGAGGATGGGGGCGGGGGGTAGGAGGAGGAGAGGGCATCTGAATTTGAAGACTCTCACGAGGCTCTCTTTGTGCTCACTGCCTTGAGGAGGTAGAACCCTGAAAGGGTAGCCCCTGGAGAAGGCAAGTCTCTCCAGGAGACAGACAGTAAGAGCAACAGGCCAGAGAGAAAGGAGTAGCTGCAGAAGGCGCAGGGTGAGGGGCTGGCAGGAGATGGCAGTGCCCCATTGCAGAGGGTGTGGGCTGCCCAGACAAGAGGTGAAGCAGAGATCAGAGGAGTGCAGGACTCAAGGTAAACAACCCACTAGGAGGCCATCAAAGCCTCTGGTTTTCACAACTATCCAGAAAGAAGAACACCATTCAGATGATCTGCGGAGAGCAGGCAATGTTGGAAATGTTTGTCTGCCCTTCAGTGGTAAGAAGAATAGAGATCATGTTACAACTTACCATGCTTTGGCCTAATTTTAGAACAGCACAAGGAACTGTTTAAAGGCTTCAAAGATTCCAGAGAAAAACCAATCCATTTGCATAACCAGATATAAAATTACATTAGAGGCTAGAATATCTGGTCCTTGCCCATGAGGATTTCCAGCTTGTCAAGTTCATTCTTCCCTCAAATCAGAGCCAGATGCAAAGTCTGGATAGCCAAGCCAGGATGGGAATAGAGACTTAAAATACAAATAAGGTTTAAAAAATAAAAAAAAAAACTGAAGGTAAGACCATGGGTGTGGAGGCAGGGCACTTGGGCAACTCAATGATTTTCACTTATCCAGGGTATCCAGCCCCAGAGCAAGCAGAGAAGAAAAGTTCTATGGTAACTTTCTTTAGAGAGAATCCTCATAATAAAAATCATCTTCATCATCACAGATGTTGATCTATCTTTCTTGAATTTCACTTCAAAGACCTGTTAAGGTTAAGCATTCCTGGCACTAGAGGTAGCTTGCATCAAGTAACGCAAGACAAGAAGCTGTGTGGTCAACAGAGGAGGACAATTCGAAGAATGTGCCCACATTTCTGCATCACAATTGCGAAGCCAAATTAAAGCAAGATGCTGGGTCCCAAACAGTGCTCAGAAAGGCCGAGACGACAGCTCAACAGAACAGACAGTACTCCAAACACGTAGTTTATTGCTCTGTGCTGTTCCTGAAAACAGCCAAGACTGCATTTTGACTGGCAACAGATGGAAGTTACTGTATGAACTATTGGGATTTCATTAAATATTCCTCTTCAAAGATAGACAGAAGCTGTCACCCTAAGTGATCGTTATAAAAACTTCCTGGCAAGGAAGTTTCCAACCAGGGAGTTGACCTAAAATTACAAAGAAGAATAAAACCAAGAATTTGAACAAAAACTAAGAACTAAAAGCTCATCAAGTTACATTCAAGGAAATAGTGGTTGAAGTTTTGCTTCTCAAGAAAAGCTGCATTCTACTAATGATTGAGCGAGAATAAATACTAGGATATTAGAGATCCTGTATTATAAGGCTCTCCAACAGCACAGGAATTTTTTTTTTTAAGGTGACTGTTAAAGGGTACATGTCCTTCCAAAAAGGAAAAAAAAAAAAATAAGAGCTGAATAAAGGGGACAAAAGAGCTGGATCCCAGGATAGCACTCCAAATTTATTAGGATCCTCTTCTCCACCAGAGGAACTGCTATGGAAATAATGTTCTCCTTAGCTATCTGAAATTTTAATAATGAAGCTTCTTAGGGAACCGAGGTTCTGGGGTAATATTTAAAGGAGTATGAGTGTATTTATTTGCTCTTTCACATACACAAGTTTACTTTCATGTTTTTAAAATGACACATTTATAATTTTAAGTTGTTTCACTTTACCTGAAGGAGCTTCTTGATGCATTCATGGTGGCTGTTCTTGGCTGCAAGGTGCAAAGCACTGTGTCCTAAACGGATTAAAAAAAAAAAATTGGAAGAAAAAGACCACACATTTTAAATCTCTTATCTCTGTGATGAAGACAACTATGAGGAAATAAACTATTCTCCAACAAAGACAGAATTGTTATTCTTGAGAGTAACGCCTCCACTTCTTACCTGCAAAGTTCATTGTGACAAAAGTGGGGAGAAAACAGCATCCTGCCCCCGGATAACATTCAGGGCCCATGCCAGCTGCCGTTCTCCTGGGGTACAATTAAGCTCTGGGCTAGAAGCCTGCGGTAGACTCTAGGTATGCAGCTTGGAAATTCTGCTTTCAGCTGTCAGCATGGGTGCCAGATGCCCTGCGTCCACAACACTGACACCAGACCACGACTGCTACGGGCCCGGGAACCCAGCACAGGCGGCCATATGAGAACACATCCAACGACCGCATGGAACCCTACTTCCACCTTTCCTCTTGCTTTCCTCCAAATGTGCTCCAGCTCTGCACGGGAATTACCTGTAGTTCAAATGTTCAAACTTGGAACCGGTGGAAGAAGGAAAAGAGTTATAAAAACAACACTATCAAAGGAGCATCCCTGTACGTTCCCTTCAAAGAATGTGACGCCAACGTGAGACTCTCTGACATTTCTGTGGTCAGATAACTTTAGGAAATTCTACCCCACGGTCAGAGGAGCCTGGCAGGCTACAGTCCATGAGGTTGCAAGAGAGTTGGACACGACTTAGTGACTAAACAACATTACACCCAGTGCCCTCCCCTGCACCATCTAGTGCGCCTGTAGAACATCTGTGGGTGAGGGGCTGAGGGACAGCCTTGGTGTGGCTACCAGGCTAGCAGGCATCCTTGGGCCCTAGAGAATTGCTCTTTGCTTAGCCTGGATCCTCTTCTTCTAGGATAACCATGCAGTTTGCCCGCTTACCTGCCTGATACCACTGAAACCTGCTTCTTAATGAGACCTTTCCTGATCTCACCACTTAAAACTCCTCCCCCACTCCTCTCATCTCTTTGCTTCATTTCTTTGTCCTTCATAGCACTCCGCAACTTCAACCTTCCCTTCTCACATGACTCCCCTCTCCTCCTACACACACACACGTTTATGTAGTCAACTCTTCTTCCTTTCCCTCTAGAATATAAAGTTTGTATCCCAAGTGCCTATGTGTGCTAAGTCACCTTAGTTGTGTCTGACTTTTTGCAACGCTATGGACTATAGCCTGACAGGCTCCTCTGTCCATGGGATCCTCCAGGCAAAACTACTGGAGTGGGTTGCCATTTCCTTCTCCAGGGGATTTTCCAAACTTGGGGATCGAAGCAGCATCTCTTACATCTCCTGCATTGGCAGATGGGTTCTTTACCACTACCTGGGAAGCCTAAGCAAAGCCTAAAGAAAGACCACTACCTGGGAAGCCTAAACGAAGGCCAAAGAAACAGCATGTATGTGCTAACACAGACCAGGCTCTCCATACACACTTGTAAATTTGAATCAGAGAGTCTGTCCATTGTGAATGTCTGGGGAGGGAGGCTTGGGGGCAGGGAACCAAACTGCTAAATCCTGCATTTGTAAACTGATCAAGATACCTCCAATGTAACACCTGTAAGCAACCCACACTTAAAGCTTGTTTCACTTAACGTCAGTGAAATTCGAAGCTATGGAAGGTGGCCCTATGTACCATAGGAAGAGGACTAGCATCTCTGACCACTATCAACTGAATGTCCAGATGGAACAAGAGGAAATGTCCCCAGACATTGCCAAACATCCCTTGGATAGACAGGAATCACGTAACTCAGTTGAGAACCCCTGGCTTAGAGGAACAACTTCTTTTATATGGTGATCTGGTCTCCAAATACCATTTCTCCATTCTGAATTAGTCTTTATAACACTGACCAGAAATCCACTAATTATTAAAGAATCATATAGCTAGGAAATACCATATTTAAAATTAGAAGGTTTTAGGACCACAGTGAGATGCACAAAAGCAAGTGTAAGGTTAAAAGATCAGATACCTTCTTTGCTGAGAATCTGCACAGAGATTTTAAGGGTATGCATAGCGGGAGCTGGTTGGAGGAGGTATAACATTCCATTTGACCTCCGCCCAAATGGATAAGGATGAAGACAATCAGGAAATAAGGCAATGAGATCTTTGGAAGTAGGAAGGCAAGTATCTTCTTTTCCCCTTCCTCCTTTTACCACAGGAGACCTCTTTTCAGGAGGTATAACATACAATAGTGAGTTTGCTTAAACTATGAATTGAGTTTTGGTGGGTTAGCTGGGCCCTCGACCATCATTTCTATCAGTGTTTCTAAGGAGGAGCACATTTTGTGTTTTAAACAAATGCCTTGCAGATGAACTTTTGGAACCCATCCTGATTGTAAGTAGAAGACTGTTTATGTCATGTATGCAATGCATTAACTTTTGTCTATCCTGTAGACAAAAGCTCTTCTAATACATAAATAGTACCCACTGGAAAAAGGCACAGTTCTCCAAAGACAAGAGGGTAGGGAGATTTACACAACCATCATAAAATAAATAACAGGCTTTCATTTTCAGTGCAAGAGTTCCAGTCATACCTGAAGTAAGCACTGTGTTTCTACAGAAACAACACTCTTTTATTCCTTGGCCCTGTGATGGGTTTCCCTAACCAAGAGCACAAAAGCATTTTTCACTTAAAAGAATCTCTAAATTCAAATGATGCATCAGTCCCTGGTCAACATTATCCTGGAGAGAGATGTCTCTCACAGCTACCATTAAAACAAAATCTCTTTCCAAATGCAAAATTTTCTGGAGAGAATATATTAGTGACAGAACTTCACTGTAACCAGCCCCCACATAAGACTGGTTCCATTTGGCTGTGGATCTGTCTGGAATATCAGAAAGCAATTTCCCTTTAGGAAAATGACAAGGCAACACTAATTCAGGTGCATTTCAGCAGAACTCTGTCTGTGAATGAAGACATCAGTGCTACTCGTAAGTCAAGTGTCAGAGGCTATTCCAGGTGGTTTAAGAATCCTGCTATTCAAAGAGTCTAAGAAGGATGGCCCAGCCATTGCAGCCATGGAACACCATCCCCCAAGCTAACTTGGACATTAACCGCTTATTCAATGATTTCAGACTGCTAGAGAAACAGAACAGAACTCACTCATATAGTGAAGGAATTACTGATGGGACTAAGAACACAGTCTTCAAGTGCAGGTGACAAATGTTTAAACTGATGAATTCGTTGAGATGAAGACAAGGCAAAGAAACACCAAAAGACTGAAGTCTGAGAAATCATAGTTTCAGATCGTAATAAGGAAACATTTCAAAAAATAAAGAGAGCTAAAAGATACTCAACTAGATATGGTTTGAAATCTCTACTTAAGAACCAGAGTTTCAAAATGCCGAATATAAACAATAAAAGTGGTAATTAATTTGATTTTTATTTACAACATTAAATATATTTAAACATTGTTCTTAGAAATGCTTATCTTTACGTCAAGTTTTCAGCCACTGAAGCATAAATCTATTCACCTAGTTATAGTTCCAGGGGAGAGATCAGAGTATGAAAGATGTATTTCTTTCTTTAAAAAAATTTTATTAAAAAGAATAGATACATGTATACATATAACTAAATCACTTTGCTGTCCACCTGAAACTAACACAACATGTTAATCAACTGTGCCCAATATAAATATTTTTTTTAAAAAAAGAAAAAAAATCCACAACATTGTAAATTAACTATACTGGCAATAAAAAATAATAAAATTTTATTTGTCTTCTTTATTGAAGTATATATAGTTGATTTATAATGATGTACTAGTTTCTGGTGTAAAGTGATTATGTGTATATATACACACACACACACATATATATATACACACACATACACATATCACACACACAAAGAGAAATTTTTAATAACCATTCTTACTATTAGAATTTTGAAATTATCCCTTAATCTCCACAAAGTAGATTTGCATAGTGATTTACACTGAAGCAAAAGGGTTTGTTTTTTTTTTTGCACCTGCTGCATGTATATATCATTTGAAATGTTTTCATGGCCAGATTATGTTGATCACTGTACATAGTAGTCATGTATGGATGTGAGAGTTGGACTATACAGAAAGCTGAGCAGCAAAAAATTGATGCTTTTGAACTGTGGTGTTGGAGAAGACTCTTGAGAGACCACTGGACTGCAAGGAGATCCAACCAGTCCATCCTAAAGGAGATCAGTCCTGGGTCTTCATTGGAAGGACTGATGTTGAAGCTGAAACTGTGATACTTTGGCCACCTGATGCGAAGAGCTGACTCATGTGAAAAGACCCTGATGGTGGGAAAGGTTGAGGGCAGGAGGAGAAGGGGACGACAGAGGATGAGATGGTTGGATGGCATCACCGACTCAATGGACATGGGTTTGGGTGGACTCCAGGAGTTGGTGACGGACAGGGAGGCCTCGCGTGCTGCGGTCACAAAGAGTCGGACTGAGCAACTGAACTGAACTGAACTGTACATAGTTGATTGGCCCTTCAGACATGCCATACACGTGCACAACCAGGAAGTAAAGAACTATAATCATGCAATCAATTTCTGGCTTGCCTTTATTCCAAATTAAATATGAAATACTTAATGGACTACAGTCTGCCGTTACATTTTAAATGACCCATTCTCTCAAGTACTTGAGTTTTAAGATATAACTGTTCTGGGCTAGAATATATGAGCTAGATTGGTATTATATGGTATTATATGTGAGACAGATTAAGGGCATAATGGAATGGAGGGCCACCCAGAAACCCAAACTAAAGACAAGTGAATACCAGAAACCCTAGAAAAGAAGAAGGGCTCTCCCGTGTCTCCCTCCTGAGGCCTCTGTGCATTATGGCATCTCCATATTCCATAGCTCAGTTCTCACTCTCCTAAGACTCTTCTTCTATGAGAAAATAAGTTTTGTATGCAAAGGGATCAAGGAAAATTTAAGATATGGGAGTGTGACAAATCACACATCATTCTTCAATTTCTATTTATACTTCCTTCTA